AAAGAGAATGAGAGATTTGTGGGTACAGATTTGAGAGGGGATGTTGTTATTGTTTTTAAGGTAGAAAAGACCTGAGTGAGTTTAGAATGGCTGAGGGGTAGGATCTGTGGGTAATGCAGAAAAGGGGAAAAGCTCACAAGAGTGCAAGAGTGGTCTTTGAAGACCTGGGAAAAGCTGGGATCTAGCTCACAGGGCTTAGTCTTAGGAGGGACTTGCTATGTTTGATACTAGAAAAAAGGATGTGAGGATGAGTGCAGCTGTAGCTGTATTTGCAGATACATCTTTTGTAGATAGAGATATAGATGTGGGCTAAAATTGAAAGGAAATCATGCCTTTATTATTTGATTGCCTACCATCAAGGGGCATTGAACATCCTGCTAAGACCATTCTTTCATCTCTAATCACAAACCTTTCACTGGCTAGTGACCTGGCATTTTCTAAATATTTCATGGCGCACCTGATGGTAACTTATATTGGCAAGTCCAAATATATTTTACAAGGTAAAAAATGTGAAATACTGACTGGCTGATATATGTGCTTTACTCATTGAAATTAAGATGATGTGTCTGGCTGAGAATTTTCTTATTCTTTCTTCAGGAAATCCGACTTATTGATTATGAGAAAATGGTGGATCATAGAGGAATTCGGGTAGTGGCATTTGGACAGTGGGCAGGTGTGGCAGGTAGGTATGCCAGGCTTTTACCTCACCCACTTTCTAAATTTTCCTGGTGAGTAACTGTGTTTTCTCTTTTCTGTGGCATTTCCACCAGTCAAAATTAATCTGAGGGTCTGACTAAGGGGACTAGAATAAGAAGGTAAATCATTAAAATATATTCATTACAAAAAATTAAAAGAAAAAGAGCAGGGAGAAGGATAAGAACTATGGATAGGCTCTGATTTTCAGGTAGTCCTGTTTGGAAGTCAGTTTGGTTATGAGAAATTGAGGAATACAAGAAAGGGAAAAAGAAGAAAAACATACAGAGGGGGCCAGCCGGGTGTCACGTTAGTTAAGAGCTGGCTTGGGATGCCAGAGGGCCCCGGTTCGGATCCCACATATGAGGGCCAGTGACACTGCCCTCCACAGCTAAGATACTGAACAACAGCTCAACCTGGAGCTGGGCTGCAGTGAGTCCCCAGCCACGGTGTAGGCTGCAGCCCGTGCTGCAGTGGGTTGCCATGGGCTACCGTGTGTAGCCAGCAGCCAGCGTGAGGGGCCAGCAGCCACTGTGAGTGGCCGTCCAGAAGCCGACAACTGATCTGCCTCGCCCGGGAAGAGTGCAATGATGGTGCCAACTTGGGCCAGTGAAGCGATGTCCTCCACAACTAGACAGAAGAACAAAAAGACAGCAACTTGTCTGTTCCCCTTCCCCCAATTCCCCAGCGCTGTTCCCATCCCCCAATTCACCAATAAAAATCTTTAAAAAAAAAAAGAAAAAGAAAAACTTACAGGGGCAGGAAGCAACAGAGGAACAATCTAGAAAGGATAAAAGCTGGAGTTTGGGGAAAAACTCCACTTGACTTTTGTGCCAGTTAGTACTTTGAATCTTTTTCAGTTGACAAACACCACTACCATATATTATAACTGTATCAGATTATACTACTTGAAGGTTTGTAATTGTCAGAACAAGTAGACAGAAATTTTTAGGAATATAAGACACTAAAACACTATCATCCGCCCTGACATAAATGATAGTTATTGAGCACTGTACCCAACAACTGTAGGATGCATGTTCTTTTCAAATCACATGGAACTTTCACTCGGATGGTCCATATACTGGGTCACAAAACAATTCTTAGTACATTTAAAAGGTTTGAAATCATATAGTATGTGTTCTGACTATAATAAAATTGACTTTGAAATTATAATAGAAAAATATGTAGAACATTTACAGATTTTTGGGAGCTAAACCATATATTTCTGAATAACTTATGTGTGAAGAAGAAGTCAAAGGAAAAATTAGAAAATATTTTGAATTGAATAAAAAGTTAAAACAGCATATCAAAATTTGTGGAATACAAATAAAGTGGGGCTTAGAAGGAAATTTATAGTATTAATATTTTTATTAGATAAGAAGAAAGTTCTCAAATTAATGATCTAAGCCTCCATCTTAAGAAGTTAGAAAATGAAGAAGATATTAAACCCAAAGTAAATGGAAGGAAGGAAATAATAAAGATAAGAGGAAAAATCAATGAAATCAAAACAGGAAAACAATAGAGAAAATCAGCAAAATCAAAAGCTTGTTCTCTTTTTAAAAAAAATAATAAAATTGACTCTGGGTGGTGAACACAGAATGCACTATATAGATGATGTATTATAGTAATGTACACTTAAAACCTATGTAATTTTTTTTTCACATGGTAGTTCTATTTTTAATTTCTTGAGAAACCTCCATACTATTTTCCACAGTGGCTATACCAATTTACATTCCCACCAACAGTGCACAAGTGTCCCCTTTTCTCTACATCCTCGCCAGCTCTTATTTCTTGTCTTTTGATAACAGCCATTCTAACAGGTGTGAGGTGATTTCTCACTGTGGTTTTGATTTGCATTTCTCTGGTGATTAGTGACTTTGAGCACATCTTCATGTACCTGCTGGCCATCCATATATCTTCTTTGAAAAATGTTTATTCAGATCCTCTGCCCATTTTTTAACTGGATTATTTTTTGTTTTGTTTTGTTGGGGTTTTTTGTTGGTTTTGTTGGGATTTTTGCTATTGAGTTGTATGAGTTCTCTATATAGTTTGGATATACCTTTATCAGATATGATTTACAAATATTTTCTCTCACTACGTAGGTTGCCTTTTCATTTTATATATATATATATATATATATATATATATATATATATATATTTTTATTGTTAGTTTCAGGTGTACAGAACAATGCAATAGTTATCCTTTTTACCCTTCACACAGAAACAACCCCCCTCCTCCATCTACTGCCCTCCCACCCCTGATATCATGCTTGTCTATTACAATTCCATTGACTCCATTCCCACTCTCTACTCCACATCCTGTGACTACATGTATATATAATTATAGTTGACATACAATATTATTCAACACCAGCTTCAGAAATACAGTGCGGTGGTCAGGCCTCTACACCGACTATGAAGTGGTCTCCCTAACAAGACATGAGTCCATCTGGCCCCTTAAAAAATATTTACATTATTGATTATATTCCCCAGATTGTCTTTTTCTTTCCCTGAAGCCATATTGTAGTTACCAATTTGTATTGTCTCATCCCTTCCCCTTCTCCTTCATCCCCACCCCCTCCCAACAAGCAACCCTCAGTTTTTCCTCTGTGTCTCTGAGACTATTTCTAAAACTTATGTAATTTTACTGACCAATGTCACCCCAATAAATAATAAAAATTAAAAAAACAATAAAATTAACTTTCAGCTAGACTGATTAAAAAAGAAAAGAGAGAAGACACTATTTACCAGTATTAGGAATCCAAGAGGGATCATCTTCATATATCTTACAGACGTTAAAAGGATAAGGGAATATTATGAAAAGGCCAGTAAATTTGACAAAGTTGATGAAGTAGACACAAATCCTTGAAAGACACAAATTCCCAAAACCAATTCAAGAAATAAAAAATTTGAATATCAATGTACAAAATAAATTCCACTATAGTTATCAAGAGAAATGAATTAGTATTTTCAGAGACTTATTTATAGTAGCTTCATTCATAATAGCCTAGAAACAATCCAAATGTCCGTCAGCAAAGGGATGGATAAATACATAGTCGCATACCCATAAAATGGAAAACTCCTCAACAATAAAAAGAAGAAAACTACTGTGACACACAAAGCATGTATGAACCTCAAAAACATTATGCTGAGTGAAAGCAGACACCCAAAAGGTAGTATATATTTTATATGAAACTGTAGAAGAAAATACATCTATACAGAGAAATAAGATCAGTCGTTGTCTGGGGCCAAGAATTGGAGAGGATTGATGGGGGTGATGGAGGATTGACTGTATCTTGATTATGTTGGTGGTAATATGGGCGTGTACATTTGTTAACAGTTATCAAACTGTACACGTTAAATTGGTGCATTTTATTGTACATAAGTTATTCCTTTAAAAGTTGACTTTAGGAAAAAGATCAAAGAAAATTTGGTAGGGATCGGAGAGGGGAAGTTCTATTCCTGAAAAGAAGAGAATGGATGCTGAGGTCTTTGCTACAGAGCTGCAGAGTTTTTGCTATTTGAAGGATGTCCAAATTGGGGAATCACTAAGGTGGTTGGTTAGGTCTTGAAATAAAATATCTGTGCTAGAGATACAGATTTGGGGTCATCTGTATAGAAAGAGTACTTGAAATTTAGGACTGGATGAAATTAGCTAAGGAAAAGAATGTAGCGATTGAAGAGAATAGGACAGAATCCTGAGACTGATTAATGTATAAGGAAAGGGCTGAGGACACTAATATAAAATGAATGGGCATGGGAAGAGGCACCTACAGAAACGGAGGATGAAAACATTTTAAGCCAGGGGTGCTAAGGGATGACAGTTTTCCAACAAAGAGGGGCCCTATATTGCCTAGTACCTATGACAAGTAAGTCAAGATCTGAAAAAACGTCCACTGAGTTTAGCTATTTGGTCACTAAAATTGCTGATGAGGGTCATGGGGTCAATGGTGACTTTGTTTTTGTTTGTTCATTTTTTTTGCATGGGAGGAATGGAAGTGTGTTTAAGTGTTAAGAATAAGCCAATAAAGGAGGATAGTGAAAGGACTAATTCAATAGTGAATTCCTTAGAGAGGCAGGAAGGGATGGGACCTGGAGCAGAGGTGGAGAGATTACCCAAAGAGAAGAAAGAAGAGGATACTGTTTCCATTTGGCAGGATCGAAAGTTGAAGGGGTAGGTGGGGATGCAGCTGGCTTAGTGCTTCTGGTGGCAGAAAGTTGAGGGGATGAGTAAGATGACTGCTGGGACCCCTTCCATATCTGAGACGCTGTGGTCTGCGCTTCCTCAGAGCCCCGAGCACGTGGGAGCATGGGCAGAGAGAACCCCTCAACTCCTCCCAACTAACAGTCTTTCTATTGATCTGATTCTGCAATAGGGATGATCAACATTTTACATGGAATGGGCTTAAGGCTCCTTGCTTTGGGACATCACACACCTTTTATGGTGAGACGCTTAATTTTGTTTATTTTTTCGAAAATACGTATCACAGTTTAAGAATAGAAACCTGTCTCTGGTGGTGGACTAACTTGAACTGTGTGCTTGCTTTCAGCACATTGGCATGGCTCATAACTATAGGAACAGCAGTCAGGCTGTGCAAGCTGTCCGCGATGCTGGCTATGAAATATCTCTGGGTTTGATGCCCAAATCGATAGGGCCCTTAACATTTGTGTTCACAGGGACTGGTAATGTATCTAAGGTAAATCCCACCTGTCTTCTTTCTGTAAAGCAGTCTGAAAATCTGAAACTAACCCAAAGGATGTAGGCATTTTGGGGGCCTTTCAGAGCCCTACTTTTCCATGAATGGGCATTCTCTTCTTGGCATTTTTTTTTTCTTTTTTCACCTATGTACTTTTCCCATTGTAAAGAGCAGTCGTGGTCCAAACTTGCATTCTTTGCTTTTAGGTGATTCCAAGCTGTGAGAGGCTTTGAATGCTTTTCTTTTTTTTCTTTTTTAGAGGGATAACTCATTGTTAATGGTGGAAAGCTCTGTTCTTAGCATAATCTGTTTGCCCTCCATCACTGAGATGTCCAAAGTTTGGAAGTTACCCCAGAATGTCAATTTTTTTTAAGATGACTTGGAGTTTTGCCAATCAGATGTTAGGAAGCTTAATTCGAGACTGGAGTTAATCCTTTCTTTCTCCTGGGGTGGTTTTGAGAATGCATTTGTGACCCCCACCCTCCCGGAGGAACTTGTAATTGGAAAATAGATATTTCTTCAATGAAAATATTTTACAAGTAGGACATCACTCTTTGTATGATGCTGTGAGATAGGCATCTAATTCTTTTTTGTAGGAAATATAGTTTCCCTACTTGAAATAATTTCTGCAATGGAGCAAAAAGTAAATAGAAATATTTTATTTTACTCTCACTTCTAAATACTATTGTTTCTCCACCAAGTAAAAAAAGTAAAGCCCCTTCCAAAGCATGGTGTTCACATTGGAATAAAAACTGGTCTGCAGGCTGTGAGCGAGAAACTCGTCTGTACTTCGTTCTGTGTCGTAGCCCAAGTTCAGGGCAGGACAGGTGGAGCTGTGTAACTGTGGGGACAATGAATTAGAGTCTTTGCAGGAAACCGTGTTGGCTTTTTTCCTATTGATGTTTAGATTTTCACTAATGTGTTACTTACAGGGAGCCCAAGAAATCTTCAATGAGCTACCCTGTGAATATGTGGAACCACACGAATTAAAAGAAGTTTCTCTAACTGGAGGTAAGAGGGGGAGGCTGACCATATGTACTTTTTACTGTTTTTTTTTTAAAATAGTTTCCGTGTTATAATATTTTATCACCATAAATTCTTATCATTTATCACCCACTTTACTAATTTCTTTCTCCCCGCAAGACCTGAGGAAAGTGTATGGAACAGTGTTAAGTCGCCATCATCATCTTGTCAGGAAAACAGATGGTATATATGATCCCGTAGACTATGACAAATATCCTGAGCGCTACATAAGTCGTTTTAATATTGATGTGAGTATCGTACTCAGCTTTTGAGTTGGTTGCTCATGATATGCACTCTAGCTAGGCTGTTTTCAAGGAGAGAAATTGTGAATGTGTGCCTTGGTCCTCAGTTTCCCATACTGGCTTGTTGGGAGTCCTTTGGGTATCAGAAGTTGCTTTAGGAGCAACTGGAGCTGTTGGCTTTTACTGACGTTTGGAATGGCCTTTGCTGAGCAGTTTTGGTGGTTTCTGTGGATCTGCTCCTCGCTTCACTGTCTCTGTTTCTACCATAGGTCTGCATGTGCCCAGTAGCTTTAAAACATTTCCCGTGGATGACCGTTTTCTGTATTTATCCTGGACTAGTTAGTATGGCCAGCAAAGCACAAGGTCTATGAAGTTTGATCTTGGTGTAGATTTATTCCTTTGATGACCACAAATTATAATGATCACCTCAGCCACCTGTCTTGAAATACATACCATTGGTTACAGGGGCCAGGGTAAAATAGTATGGCTATGTAAACTCAGGCCCATCCACACTGTACAAAAAAGTTACAAATAAAATTCTTCTAATGAGGACACACTGGCCTCATTTTATTATACGAAGAGCAACATGTTTGTGTATTCTGTAGTCATTGGTCATTCAACATTCCTCCTCCAAATAAACCAACAAAAAATAAACAAAACCAAAAATGCATGCATTTATGGGAGAGGAAATGTTTTAAATAATTTTGAATATGTTTGAACAACACAGAACTTTTAGATTCTGGCATGAAATTTAGTGTTACAGCATGTAAAGCATGGTCTAGATAAGGACTCTTACCTGTAGCTTGCGAATTCTTGAAATGCCTAAGAAAGAAAAATTATGAAACTAGTCTCAAACTAAAAACAGTCTGAATCTAGTAAATTTCCATCCCTTCTTTTTCCCAATCACAGAAGTATTGGTGATTGGTTGCATTAAAACTTATAATGACCTAGTTACCATGTATGCATGTACATAGCACATTTGTCCATGGAGCTTACAGATGTTATCTGATTTAATCTTCACAGCATCCCTGTGATGAATAGGGTACGTATTATCCCCATCTGACAGGTAAGGAAAACAGAGCCCAGAGAAGTTGAGGTAGCATGATTTAGATCACGCTCTACTGGTGGTTGAACTGCAGTTAGAGTGCTAGCTCATTTGGTGCTCTGCCCTTCCCTTTTTCTTGGCTATGCAGTACATTATAGAGCAAAACTATTAATATATTTATGTTCTTATATTTCTCTATCATGGGGAATTCCACACTGAAATCTGGGTGGCTATTTATTGTCTTTGATTCAAAAGATGGCCACTGACCTGGTGAATAACACAGTCAATTCGAAGTCACGTTAAATTATGTCGCATGGACTTTACTGATAGCTCTCTTTCAGCACACTGCACTGACATATGCTATTTCCTAGCTTGTTGAACTTGGAACTTGCTTTATAGATTGCACCCTACACAAGTTGTTTTATTAATGGAATCTACTGGGAAACAAACACCCCTCGTCTACTGACCCGCCAAGATGCTGAGAGTCTCCTGGCTCCAGGCAAGTCCCCCATTGTTGGTGTGGAAGGCTGCCCTGCATTGCCACACAAGTAAGGATTTTACTTCCGCAATGATGACAGTTCTTAGCAGCAGGACCCACTAGTAGGGCGTCAGACGTGGGGGTCCACAGACCACAGGATTTGATTGTTAATGACTAGTTGTCTACTTTACCTTATGTGACCTCTTGAGAGCATTAGATCGTGAACCTTCCCTCCTTTCTGAAACTCTTTCTCCACTTCTGTGAATCCACATGCTGCTCAGAAGAAACCTCCTCAGGAGGTCCTTTCCTGCATCCCTATTACCACCTCTCTCTAGTCTGTTTCTCTGTTTTTTCCTGAAATTCACAGTCACTTATTTCCCACTGTTTATGATTTTCCCCCTCCTACTTGAGCTTAATCTTCTTAAGGAGCGGGGTCAGATTTAAGTAACCAGTACATTGCCTGACATATATAGTCAAATAATTATTAAATGTCCAATTAATTAATCAATCAATATTTGTGGGACACCTGGTCTGTCTGGCACTCTGATGAACTAAAGGATAGGGAAGAGTAAAAGTATGGTTGTGCCCCTCAGGCATGTAGCCGGCATCGAGTAGATGCCAAGGGAATGCTGGAAGCATTATCATCACAAGAGTTTAGAAGAGAGTGGGAGCCTGGGCTCAGCTAAGTCTTATGAGGGGAGGAGTGAGGAGAATGAGAATTTCGAGTGAAGGACTGAGGCTTGATAACAAAGCACAGCGAATGGGACAGGCTAAGCCTAGTACAGGGTTTATACAGGCAAGTGGTAATTGGAGATTGAGCAGGAAAATGGTGGTCAACCTCTACAGGATTTCAGATGCTGGGCTGAGACTTTTGTTCCTAATTCTAGAATATTTCCATGTAATAACATGTAAAATTATGTAGTACTAAACAGGGTGGAGGGAGCTGGCTAGGTAGGTTAAGTTTAAGCTGTTGTCGATGATACCTCTAGGGAAGAGACTTTCCACTTTTGTTTCTTTTCCTCTCTTCCTTCTCCGGCTCCCTTCCCTACCCCTTTCCTCCTCCTCCCCTTCCTCCTCCCTCTCCCCCTCCTCCTGTCCCTCCTCCTGTCCCTCCTCCTCCTCCTCCTTCCTTGTGAAGACTGAAACTCACAGTGGGAAGATTCTGTGAATCCCAGAAGGAAACAGAGCTAACAGCCTAGGCACCTACCTTGAGTATTGTTCCAGGCACCTTGCGTTTTTATTCATTGGTAGTCTTGCTGGAGACTTCAGAGTTCCGTGCTCTGATCTCAGTACTGATGTTGTTTTCAGACTTGTGGCAATATGTGACATTTCAGCTGACACGGGAGGATCTATAGAGTTCATGACTGAGTGCACTACCATAGAGCGTCCCTTCTGCATGTATGATGCAGACCAGCACATTATTCATGACAGGTGAGTCTGCGGAACTTAGTAGGTGAGAGATCCGTATAAACACACCATTTATTTACCTCTATATACTAGTAGTAAAATACTCACGATTTTACATCTTTATGAAGACGCTGCAAATTTCCAGAGATATACAGAAGCGTATTTAAACGTTGGGTAGAAAACCCACATGCAAATTTGAACCCTCAAATCCACATATACAATATTTAAATGAAAGATGCGTTGCTGAAGAAGGAAAAAGCTTTGATAGGAAACTTGTTTATTTTCTTATACTCTGGTTGAAAATGACAAATGATCATGAAGCACATGTAATGGAGCGGACATCTGGAAAAGTTAGAGCTTACGACGAACATTTTGTACAGCCAAATAAAGCATGTTGCTTCTTCCAGTGTTGAAGGCTCTGGGATTCTGATGTGTTCCATTGACAACCTGCCGGCACAGCTTCCAATCGAAGCTACGGAATACTTCGGCGACATGCTTTATCCTTATGTCGAAGAAATGGTAAGCAGACCCGGAGCTTCCGCGACTACACCTTGGCTTTAAATAGAACTGTGGAGTGATCTTATGAATGTTCTGGTCTTCGGTATCTGAGAAATCTGTTGTAAAATGAAATGCCAGCCCTTCCCTGAAGTGCTTACGGACTCTTATTTTACATATTCTGCTCCCTCGTCTCATGGGGAATGTGGTTATAAAACTGCCTTCATGCTGAATTGCAGTTGCGTTTGCCTCGCATTATGCGGATTTTAGTAAAAATGTTCATGACGTGTAAGATAACATTTGCTTTGTTTTCAGTTCTTTCCACTTTCTAGGTCAATTCATATTGGGGCTTTCTTACTGTGCTGTGATGAGCAGATCTGAAAAATCAGAACTATAGAAACATTTATTAGATTTTAGTCACCAGTGCCAAGTTCAAGTGACAGCTTTTGTTGCGGTCATGTATGTTTCACTGTGATCGGTGACTCACTAGTGAAATGCTGTGTTGTTTAAATTCCATTTTCTTTCTTTCTTTTTTTTTTTTTTGCCAAAGATGCACTTTCTTAATTCATACTTAAGTCTTCATATTCCACCTGCTTTATTTCCATTATCAATGGCTATCTGCCTTCCGCAATGAGTCCACAGGTATGAATCCGTGACTCTTATCGTTTTCATCCATAGTTTCACTCAGGAGCTCTGACACTAAAATGGGACAGTCGTTATGGGGCAAGACTAAGTGAAATTTTCTCCATGATCTTTTCTTTCACATACGATTCCATGTGGACCCTTCATTTTGCCTCCTGGGATATGTCAGCAGGGAGGTGTAATGGGCTTTAGAAAATGTAGGCAGCAGGCAGTATCATAGTTGGCACAATATTATACTGCATCTACTATGTGGCAGGCAATGTTTAAATTACTTTATATATTTTAATTTTTAAAGACTCATGAGAGCCCTATTTGGTAGGTACCATAATTAAACCCATTGTGCAGATTAGGAAGTTAAGGCTGCCGCAGAGCTGGACCTGCAGTGTGTCTGGAATTGGTGCTGAGGGATTCAAGTTACATGAGAAGTAGAGTCCAAGTGCCAGGCTTCCCTGGAGACATCAGCTTGCTTTATGACCTTGAGCAGGGCGCTCACTTCCTTTCTGAGCCTCAGATGTTACACCTGTGAAATAAGATGGTTGTAATAGATAATCTTAATGGTCCCTCCAGTTCTAACGTTCTGTATTGCAGATGCCTAAGTGGCTGGAAGACATGTGTATATAAAAAAAAGTAATAAGAAGTTGACCCGGATGTTGACCGTTTTGACAGCCTTTACTTTTTTCCCTCTGGCATCGTTTCCCTTCAGACTTAATAACTTCCATTAGCCCATTCAGTGAATTCTTCCATTTCAGATATTTTCAGGTCTAAACTTTCCATTTTGTTCTCTTCTTTTTTTCTTTGCTGAGAGTTTCTATCTTTTCAGTTATTTTTAGTGTACTTTTCCTTATTATTTGGAGCATAGTTATAAAAGCCGCTTTATAGCCGTTGCCTCATATTTCAAATATACTGGGTCAACTTGAGGTTGAACTTTATTATTGATTGTCTTTTCCTTTGAGTATCAGTCAGGTCATGGTTTTCTGGTTTTCTTAGTTGAATGATTTTGGATGATGTGAACAGTTACGCTGTGGAGATTCTGTAGTGTTAACGTTTGTCTAAAAAGTGGTCTTTTTTTTTTGCATTTAGTAGGCAATTAACTTGGCTAGAATTAAACTGAAAACACCATCTCCACTGGGTTGGGAGGTAGCTCACATAAAAGTTCAGCTCCTTCGCCTGTGCCTGGGGTGCTGGTAGCTGACCTGCACACATTCACTTTCGGGGTCACACAGAGTCTTGGAACAGGGTTTACTTGGATATGGAAACGGGGCTTTGACTTTTATTGAATCTGTCTTTTCTGGCATTTCCTCCTCACACTCTGGAGGCTGTGGTTGCTCTGGGTTCCATTCCTGTTTCCTTAGATCAGAAAGTCAGAGAGCTTGCTGCACATTTTTTCCTCCTTGCCCTGCATGGCCCGTCCTCCGGGCAATGCCAGAAGAATGGGAAACTCACCACCTGTGCTAATTATTTTTCCAAGTTTTGATACCTCTCCAAAAACTGCCTACTATTCGTCTTTCTCTGAAGCCCTTATGTAGCTGGTTTTTAAAATTTTGTCTACAGTTTATGCTTGTTATCACTAGGAGGAATGGTCTGTTATATACTCATGTAAAATGGAATGCTCCAGTCTTTTTTTTTTTTAAGCTGAGCCATCCTGCCACCTGTTGGCAGCTCCGCAGCAGCTCAGTTCAGGCCAGGAATTGAACCTCTGTTGCTCAGAGCTCACATTCTTGAGTGAGCTCTTAAGCAACTGAGCCACTTGGCCAGCCTCCACAGTCTTAATACCTTGACTGAATCAGCTTGACTCCAGCAGAGATTTGAAGTAGCTAGAAGAGCTGTGGTGAGCCTTTGGCTTGAATTCATCTTTTTTTTTTTTTTAAGATTTTTATTGGGGAATTGGGGGGATGGGAACAGTGCTGGGGAATTGGGGGGAAGGGGAACAGACAATTGCTCTCCTTTTTTTGTTCTTCAGTCTAGTTGTGGAGGATGCTGCTTCACTGGCCCAAGTTGGCACCATCATTGCGCTCTTCCCGGGCGAGGCAGATCAGTCGCCGGCTTCTGGACGGCCGCTCACTGCAGCTGCTGGCTGCTCACGCTGGCTGCTGGCTACTTACGGTAGCCCATGGCAACCCACTGCAGCAGGGACTGCAGCCTACGCCGTCGCCGGTGACTCACAGCAGCTCAGCTCCAGGTTGAGCTGTCGTTCAGCATCTTAGCTGTGGAGGGCAGTGTCACTGGTCCTCATATGTGGGATCTGAACCGGGGCCCTCTGGCATCCCAAGCCAGTTCTTAACCATTACGCCACTCAGCCGGCCCTGAATTCATCTTTTTGAATGTGAAAATCATGCATTTCAGTGCAACTTTCACCTTATTATCCAGGCTGTGAAAAATGTTGAAGACTGATTTGCCTAGTGGATGAATGTGACTGTTAATTTCTTGAAATGTCTTTTTGTCTGTCTGCTCTAACATCGTTTACTCTAAGAAGTCATTACAAGCCATTTTCAACTCAAAAATCATTATGTTTCAAGTTTTCAATTATAAGTTCACTTCTTTTGGACCTTAGAACACAGTTTTTCATTCCTGTTTGTTCTTAATCAAAATTGCCAATTCATTCAGTACAGTTGATCTCATGTAGATGTTAGGAGAAAAATAAACCAGTCCAGTGAATTCTCAGTAAGGTGTGACTGGGGATTAGCCCACGTAACTGATGAAGAATAAGTGCATTTCTTAAATAAAATTTTTATTAAGGAACAAAATATAATTTTTATATTACATAATAGTATAAAATAACAGATAAGTGATCCGTAAGTGTACAGCTTGGTAAATTACCACAAAGACTCCCATGTGAACATTACATAGATAAAGAATAGGATCATGTTAACTTCCCAGAAGCCTCCTTGTGCCTCTCCCAGCACTATTGCCACTCCCCCTCCTCAAGGTACCTACTATCTTGGGTTCTAACTGTGGGGAAGTTTTTATTTTTTTCAACATTAATCAGAGTTTAAACTTACATCTCATAATTCTAGTAAGTTTCTTGGATCTGTTTATATTCTCTGTTTTACTCTTTTCTTGGTTTTTAGTCAATTCTTATCACTTCATGTGCCTGTTTATTTTTGATTGAATGCTGGACATTGTGTATGTAAAATTTTAGAGATGACTTGAGGGTCTGGATGTCATGGTAATTTTCTCCAGAGATTTCCTTTGTTTCTGACAGGGAGATAGACTAGGAGAAAAGCACCTTGGTTCACTTTTGAATGGAAGTGATTCAAAGCTGGGCTTTAGTCCTTGGAGAAATAATGTTTTTCAGTTTACCATTTGTTTTAGAATATAGTCTTTTAGGAACGCACATGAAAATCAAGCATTGAATAGAGACCCCTTCAGCGGAACTTAAATTCCAGATTTTATTGTCCTATTGTTTACAGTCAGCCAGAAGCTCTTCTCAGTTTCTTAGTCTCCGCTGCTTTCTGCTCAGCTTTTCAGCATCCCAGCCACTGTGTCCACATGGGCAACTACACCTTGGAAAACAGTGCCAAATGTTGGACTTATCTCGTTGGGCTTCCTTCTCCAGAATTATGGTGCAGCAAGTCTTTCCTGCCTTTGAACCTACAAACTGAGGCTTTTCATGTTTTACCTGGTTTTATTCAATGGGAGGATTGGTCTGGGAAAAGAGCGAATTCATCATTACTGAATAGAAAATATATGTTAAGAAAGGTGATGTGTTTGTACCTACATAAATCAATAGTTCACAGACTTTTAGGTAGCGTGACAAGGTTAAGAATGTCAGACAGTGAGGTGTTGGAGACTTTGGGTCAGTTCTGAGGCAGGTGGTATTGCTTAGATGTCTAAGTAAGCCAACTTCTCTGAACTGTCACAGTGTCTTCATGTATACATCATTATAGTCCTCTATACAGCATGTTCGGATTGCCTTGGGGGCATCTATCTCAGCACTATCTATAAGCACTGAACATTTGTGAAAATTGATTAATATCTCTATTTTGTAATCTTGATATATATGTGTCTGCTCGCTACTAAAAAATGAAGTATATTGCCTGTGTACTCTCCTGATAACAATGTGGGACTGTATTTAGAGTATATGCACTGCCCTTTTCCCCCCAGGTTTTCCTTCTTGATGTAAGGTCCTTACATTTATAGCATTGCCGGCTCACACTATCATTTTGCACCAGTAGAGAATTTTTTTTTTATTGGGGTATTGCGGGGAAGGGAACAGTGCTGGGGAATTGGGGGAAGGGGAACAGACAAGTTGCTGTCGTTTTGTTCTTCAGTCTAGTTGTGGAGGACGTTGCTTCACTGGCCCAAGTTGACACCATCATTGCGCTCTTCCTGGGCGAGGCAGATCAGTCGCCGGCTTCTGGACGGCCGCTCACTGCAGCTGCTGGCCGCTCACGCTGGCTGCTGGCTACACACGGTAGCCCATGGCAACCCACTGCCACAGGGGCTGCAGCCTACGCCATCGCCGGCGACTCACGGCAGCTCAGCTCCAGGTTGAGCTGTTGTTCAGTATCTTAGCTGTAGAGGGCAGTGTCACTGACCCTCATATGTGGGATCCGAACTGGGGCCCTCTGGCATCCCAAGCCAGTTCTTAACCATTGCGCCACTCGGCCGGCCCGAGAATTTTTGTTTTAGTTGTATTTGATAGGTATTTATTGTCTGTTGGAACAAACCACATAGATGAGGAGAATTAAAACACGACTTCTGATCTGTAGAAGCATGAGGTGTAATGTGACAGCCATTAGAAAGATGCCAATGAAGTTGTGGAGGGAGAAGCTGTGTCCTATGGGTAAAGTTAGGAAAGATTTTATGAAAGAGGTGACATTTAAGCTGGCTCTTGATAGATGTATAGGATCTGCTCACTTGTGTGGGCATGGGAGGCACTCTACATGATGGAGACAGGACAGCTAAGGTGGGAGTTAGTTTAAGGATTCTGCGAGTTGTCAAGTCTGATGAACCAAAGGTGAGTACGTTGGCTGCATATTGAAAAGGGCCTTAAAACCAGGGCAAATAGCTTGAAATTAATTGAGGAAAGAGTGATGAGCTCTCAAAGGTGTTGTAGTGAAAGTGGCAAGGCTTACGCTATGCTCTGGACCCTGTGCTTGCAGTTTTGTAATGGTTGAATTCTAGCAAGGGATGTAATTAACGTAGTAATTGAACAATCTTCTGTTGCCTTTATGTTTGCCTTTCTCTAGGTGAACTATAACAGTTACTTAGTTTTCTTGGGGGAAAACCCATTGAACTTTAAATAATTATTGTATGTATCCACTAATATATTAATTGAATATGCATATTTACCATTTCATAATGTAGCAGGCATGTGGCAAGGTGCCAAGTGCAGGTCCTACCTTCATGGTACACTCGGGGGCAGATTTTGCTAGACTTCACAGAGGAGGCAATTCCTCAGCGGTACCGTGAAAGATGAAGAGTGGGAGTTCCAGGTAGAGCAATAGCATGTGAGGCATCCACCTGGTGTAGCATGGAGGCACGTGAACACATCATGCAGGCAAGCAATTCCATGCTGTTCATAGGCCTGAAGTGCTGGGTATGAGGCACAACGGAGAGCTGAGGTTGGAGAGGTAGAACCAGCCTGTAGAGAGTCATGCAGGCCACCTGGGGAGCTAGATACTTGACCTTGAAAGCGAGGGAGAGCTACTGAATTATTTTACATAGCCACAGGAGAAGTAATAATGTTTGTGTTTTAGATTGGAGATAAGTGAAGGGAAGAAAGATGGGAGGTAGTTCTCTTGGTCCCAGTAAGGCCTAAATAAAGCTGTAGAATCAGAGATAATGAGCAGAGAGCGTTCAGAGGTATAATCATATACCGAGTGAAATTCCCACAGAGGTGGTAGGTAGAGCAGTCATCTTGAGGAGGGAATACCCCACACGTGCCTGGGAGAAACAAGCTATGGGAGGACACCAGGTGTGTTACACCTATGAGCTTCCCAGACAATGCCCTGCCTTCTCTGATCTTTTTCTTCCTTTTTATTTTTTTTTATTTTTATTTTTTATGCTCGTATCCTAGGAATAGAATGCCTAGGTGTCTTGTGATTTAGATACATGAAAGCAGTTTTATATTTATTGTAATACAATAAATAAATGCTCTTCTGCCGGCATCTGGTGGGTACATTTTAGTCTTTCTTAGTTGGGTGAGTGCTCTAGATGTTAACCTATGGATAAGAGGTGGGGTATGATTATCTCATTGGCTCTAATGTCCTGACTGTCAGAAGCAACAGTACTGATTTATATGACCTTTATATGACCTTTACCCTTGGCCATCTATTCAAGAGTTGGATACCTTGGAAGAAAAGAGGAGGACTAGAAGGATGCTGGGAAGTTCATATAAGAGCTGTGGTTTTTGTGGTTGGCTATCTGGTTCATTTTCACGAGATAATGGGAAAGAGTGTGATGGCATTTTGAGGTCTACTTGGTCAGATAATTTTCCCTGACATTTTTGAAATGCTGAGGTGCCTACATACACAACTAATAGTGACCTGAGTGAGACTCCCTATTGTGTTGGTGGCTTGCTGGCTGGAAGACCCATTCTCTACTTCTAATTGGACATCTTGTACCTTTGAAATGGGATAGGGGCTCTCAGAGGGACGGCTGTGGTTATAAAGCTTGTGGTGATATTTGCTAGCATGCTCAACGTGATATATCTGACTGGTGGGGAAGGATAAGCTTTTTCATGTGCCCAGCAAGCAAAGATGTTTGTAATCAAATTTTGGTTTTGCATTGGAACTTATGTTGAAATAGCGTGTTCTTGTGGGGCAGAATTCACTGCTTGTTCAAGACTTCTATTACCACTTGTTTATATTCAGAAAACTTTTCTGAATTAGTTTTGTCTTTTGACTAATATTTTAATGTGGGAACAAATACCAAGAAGCCTTCTTTGCAATGTCATTTATCTGTTACCAACCTCATTTTCCTTTCAGATATTATCAGATGCAACACAGCCTCTTGAAAGTCAGAATTTTTCTCCTGTGGTGCGAGATGTAAGTTACAAAAAAACGTGTTTTCCATGAATGTATTTTTTTCCACTACTATCCTCTCTCCCCCCTCCCTTCCCTTTTTCTCTCCCTGTCTCTATCTATCTATCTATCTATCTATCTATCTATCTATCTAATCATCTACCTATCTATCTATCATCTACCTATCTATATCTGTCTCTTCTCTGTCAGTCTGTGGGACTAAAATGTGGATATTAAATAAATGTCTTCTGTGTGGATATTAAAGAAATGTCTTCTGTCATATACATTTAGGCAGTGATTGCATCCAACGGTACATTGCCTGATAAGTATAAATATATCCTGAAACTCCGAGAAAGCAGGTAAGCATTGTTCTTATCTTGGATCTGATGAGTATTTTTTTTTTAATGTTTCAATGTGAGTTTATGAGACTAGGTTTCTACAAGATGTAAATTTTGAAAATATCTGTAAATATAGGCAACCCAAACTAAGTGAAACCAGTATGAATCATTTTCTCCTGAGCAGTCTTGTAGCATCATTTGGGCTTTCTAATATCCTATGGAGACTTGTATGTAAGCAAGCAAAAGTCCCAAAGGGCCGTCCTTTGGGTGGTCCTGTCCTTTCTTTAGCATGTTGCATATTGTCATGCCTCAGTTATTTTCTCAAAGGAAAAGGAACATGCTAATCCTTCCTGTGGTGCTTTCAGTCTGTTTTTTAGTTGAGGGTTTGGACTCTATTTTGGTTAGTGTAATGTTTAGGAAAGTAGGCTCTTGGTTAGAAATTAAGAGTAGTGAAGAAAGAAAGTGATCAGAGGTCAGTTTTCCTGGGGGATTCTTATTAGGTGCCAAAAAGTGATGTGGCAAATCGACCCAAGAGAATAGTTCTCACAGAAAGATACTTAGCTAAGGCCCTTATTTCCTTAATTGATTTTTCTATTCAAAGTTTGAAAACATTGACATTTTTTTGGAACGTTCTGGTCTACTTCAGCTGACTGCACTTGGTTTGTATTTATATCTGCCCCACTGGTCTATTTATATCTAAAAAAAATAACCCATGCACTGAATTCTCAGGAAAAACCAGTGTGGGAAAATTAATAGCAAACAAACAAGCAAACAAACTGCCTGATATTTTTTCTCAATTGTCCTACCTTCAAGAAGTAAATACAGAGATCTGCCCAGATCACGTCTACTACTGTTATGCTTTTTCCATATGTGTTAGTTTGCCCACAGTTACTTTTATGCACCAATGAAAAATTTTGGCATAAGACAGCAAGAGTGTATAATTTGTGTTTTAAAAAAGCAGCTAGCTCTATAACCCCATAGGAGAGTTACTTGTAGGGGAAACTTCACATGTATTTGTTTTTCGTAGCTCTCTGTATCACTTAATTCTCATCATCTGATGATCTCTTATACTTATGGTAATGACGTGTGTAACACGTCATGGTGACATCTTCACTCTCACACCCCGTATTTCATGTAACAGTAGGTCTGCTTGGCTCCAACTGCTAGGACTGCCTGTCTCCTCCTTCCCTGGTGGAGTCTTGTGCCAAGAGGCTGATATGACGATCGCATTTTGAAAGGAAATTTAAGTTATCGTGCACCGGCCTTATTCTTATGTTCCTCTATCACTTACCACAGCGTTTGGGGGTGCTGATAAGATTTAAGAATCTAGAAATGAGTCTTTAAAAAATATATTTTGAATGTTTATATTTAGACATGGAAAGAATATGTTTTAATCATGTAAACTAAAGAAAGTGTTATTAAATAGGATATACAATAACCAAATAATAGTGGTTCTTTCTGGGAGGTTAAATGGATGGGGGTGGAAGGAGACCACACCTCAACAGTAATATGAATGTTGGGGTGAAGAGGGACAGAGACATTTTATATTTACATTTATTTTTATTCACTTATTATTCATGAGAAGGTTCAAATTTGAACAATGTCCTGGCCTAAAAGATCCTAGCAGCACAGCCTGCTGCTACGACGTCCCTGGCACCAGGCCATTTCCATGGCTTTACACTGATATCCAGGAATTTGATTCAAAAGAATTTTAATGACTCCTTTTATACTGAGCGGTAATGGGTTTATAAAGATAAGTAAGACTTAGTCACCCTCTTGGAGGTCAGAATTTGTTGGAAAGGAAAAGAGTTATCTGTCAGGAAGGAACAAATTCTAACAGAACAAACTGTGGAAGAATTAAAATCCTGCCAAGCAGGATTTCTACATTTGATCTCTGGCATTTGTAATTTCAAAGTTATGGTTTCAATTGTCTCAAGTGACCCTAAAGATAAACAACCAAACAAATGTCTAATAATAATCTCTAACAATGATCTCCTCAGATTGATGTTTCCTGAGGGTGTTGTGAGGAGTAAATAAGATTTCTGAGGTAAAGCCCCAGCTCGATTTTAAGTCACCTCCCCTGGAAGGACAAAGTGTGAGACCAAGTGACTCAGCCCTGAGTAAGACAAACAATGGCCCAGCATTTGCGCCTCACTAGTCAAATTCATGAAAAGTCTAAGGACGTACATCTCTGCAATGTCAGGGTCTATGGTTCATTGTACAAAAGTGAAAATAATCAGTGAAAAACGTTGGTGTACGTTAATTCCTGTTGAGGTTCTTATTATGAATAATGTGGGGAAAATGATTGCTTTATGGTCTTAAGTTTTAGTTTAGTTTGGGGACAGCAAGATTCTGTTACTTAATTATTTTGTTGTTGCTGTTGTTATTAAATGATCCCCACTTGCCACACCTTTTTCTTTTTTTAAATAGGGAACGTGCTCAGTCACTTTCAATGGCCACCAAGAGAAAGGTCTTGGTTCTTGGAACTGGTTATGTATCTGAGCCTGTGTTGGAATACCTGTCAAGAGATGCCAATATAGAACTAACAGTAGGTAAATAAGCCCTAATTTTTTTAAGAAGAAGAAGAGGGAAACAAACAAACAAACAAACTGATTCCATAGCATGTTTACTCTGTGAATTTTAGATGACTTTTGTTTCTAAACTTTGAAAAAATGATTTTTGGAGATTTTAAAAGGTGTTTTGCTCTCTGATTAGTGGAAGGAAATCTAAGAATTGGACTTTTTCATTCTTAAAATAGGCTCTGACTTAAAGAATCAAATTGAACAGTTACGCAAGAAATATAATATTAATCCGGTTATTATGGAGATTGGTAAACAAGAAGAAAAGCTGGGCTCCTTGGTGGCAAAACAGGATCTTGTCATCAGGTTAGTATCTAGAAAGAAATGATTGTCCTATGTTTTGTTGCTGCTATTTCTTTTTCCTTATTGTCTTTTCTCTTCTGTTTTCTAAGTAAACTTTTAAATTTAATTGTGCATTGAGAAAAGTTCACAAATCACAAGTGCATAGTTCAGTGAATTTTCACAAAGTAAACACACCACGTAACAATCATCGTAACCGGAAATGGAATTTGTACCCCAGAATTCCTCCCTGTACCCTCTCCCTTGTATTAGCCCCATTTCCCAAAGATATGCGCTGTCCTGGCTTCTAACATATAGATTAGTGTTTGCTAGTTTTCAGCTTTGTACCATTGGAATTGTTTCCTATGTCCTCATTTGTGGCTGGCTTGTTTCATTCAACATTACGATTGTGAGAGTTGTTTGTGTTTTTTGTAGTATATTCATTCTCATTGCTGTATAATATTTCGGGTGTGGATATACTATTTGATGGTCGATGGATATTTAGGTTGTTTCTGGAATTTGGGTATTATGAATCATGCTGTTATGAACATTTTAGTATATGTCTTTTGATGACTATATATACACATTTCTGTTGGGTATCTACCTAAAAGTAGAATTTCTGGGTCATGAGGTATTTGTGTTTCATACATTTTGATAGCAATTTTATCTTTTGGATTTATAAAGCATAAATGAAATTGAATAGATTCTCTAGCTTTATGACCATTTAGGAACAGATCTTGAAATATAATGTTTATTACTACCTAATAAAAATGCAGATCTAACTTCTAGATAATACAGAGCTACATGAAGTTCCCTTCAAAATTAAACATGGTTTCTAAATACCAAAGTGATGAGGATAGTAATTAATTCTTAGACTATAATTTTTCCAAGCTGGAAGGAAAAAAGTCACTTGCTCATTTATAGTTAGATCAATTCATACTTAGATCAGATTCAAATGATATCATTGAAGGAAATTCTGTGATGTCCCATTAAAAAAAAAAAAGAACAGGCTTGGAAAACATATACAACAAAAGGTAATTCTAAGTGGGAACTTTTACATTTTCCTTTGGTATATTTAAACATACACTCATTTTGAGGACTTAAAACATTATTCAGTTTGTAGAAATTAAATACACATTAATTTTTATTCAGCAAAAATTTACTAATGACCAATAAACATTGTCTGTCAGTAATATGATTATGAAAATACAAAATTGAATGCTCTAGCATTCTGAATAAAACATAGAGAATTTGTTTTACCACACAGAGTTAGCTACATATAACATTGGTTTTTGATTAAAAAAATAACATTATAAAATACATTTGGAACTAAATCTAAAGCAAAATATGATAAGATAATGGATACAGACAATAATCTATTAGTGTGTTCAAATTTTAAAATTTAGCAAACTGGTAGCCTTTCATAAGATTTAGCATTACCAAAATCTGTTTTATATTTAATTTTTCTCGATTGAGTTTCTTTGCTGAAAAGTGGTGATACTGGTAGACATTATTATCCTTCTGTGTTTTTAAATAATTTAAAAAAATGTTTTTAAGTTGGTGAAAGAATGTTTTGATAGAAGCACAGTGATAGAAACTACCAAAATAAAATGAGTAAAGGCTATGTTTCACAAAAAATTTTATAATAGTATGTATAATAGGATTTCTTCATGGTTTTAATTTTTTAATTTTATTTTTTAATGATTTCATGCAAATGAAGTCATTAAGTTACTTTGGTAAGTTACTTTGAAAATCCATTTGCATTTTGTATATGTTATTACAAGTGGCATTTTCAAGTATTTGGATTAATTTGGTTGGAGTCAACACAGAAATTCATGGGTTATGTCCCCTTTGCTAGTTATTATATCAAGTTACTGTATCACACGCACAATGAATTATGAGCTCTAATCCCTTTGTCTAAAAAAGGTACCATCAACCAAAGTCCTATAATTCTAGTCCTCAGCTTTTTATTAGGTTAGTGCAGATAATGCCAAAGTTTAAAAATAGTATTAGATCTGCTGGCTGAGTGGCTCGTTGGTTAAGAGTTGGCCTTAGAGCGCAAGCTCTGAGCAGTAGGGCCACCCCTTTGGATCCCAGATGTGTCAGTGACGCTGAACCCTCTACAGCTAAGATGGTGAACTACAGCTTGACCTGGAGCTGGGCTGCTGTGAGTGGCTGGCGATGGCGTAGGCTGAAGTGGGCTGCCATAAGCTACCGTGAGTTGCCGGCGACAGCATAGGCTGTAGTAGGCTACCGTAAGCTACTGTGAGTGGCCGGCAGCCAGTGTGAGTGGCCAGCAGGCGGCGATAGTTGCCGTGAGCTGCCGTGAGCCACTGTGAGTGGCCGTGCAATGGCCGGTGACCCATCTGCCTCAGCCAGGAAGAGTGCAATGATAATACCAACATGGGCCAGTGAAGTGACATCCTCCACAACTAGACTAAAGAACCAAAGGACAGCAACTTGTCTGTTCCCCTTCCCCAATGCCCCAAAGCTGTTCCCTCCCCCAGTTCCCCAATAAAATCTATTAAAAATAAAAATAAAAAGAAAGTTAGATCTTGATAACATTTTTAACAGGCAAGTTTTCAGGGTGGGGAAAGTGACACAAAAATCTCCACTTAACCTTTAGGCTAACAGTGTATTTTCTATTAGTATATTTCCAACAAAGAATTTTGTAAGTACAGTATTTTGTTCATTCTCTTTAAAAGGGCTACCATATTCTGTAATAATTCTTTTCAATTAAAAAGCCAGAAAACAGAGATCAAGAGCTTTCATAGTGATACTGGAAAAATATGTACAATATTTCATTCTACATGATAATAAACATATTTTGCAGTACATATTCTGTTGACCTGAGGAGAAATAAGAAAGAGCCTGAGGTGTGGGTTTATTGTTTTGTTTCATGTGAAATAGAGAAAATCTGAAGCATGCAGGATGAGTTTGACATATACAGTTATACAGTGTGATAATATTTATAAGTTTGTATTTATATTGTCATTGGGACTATGTAGATTTCTTTACCAAATAGGCAATAAGCTAGTAGAATTTAAATATTGTTTAGCAATTGATAGGGTGTTTTATTATTCCTTGGATAGAATATGAATATACTCATTGGTATCAGCATTTATGGAAATTCATTTTTGTGTGTGTGTGATCTTGTAGTCCCCATTCCGAATTAAAACACCAAAGCCAGATTTTTAGAAAACCCAATCAAAGTTGAGTTCTATTTGCAGCCTCATTTTTTGCTCACCATATAGACCTTTCACCACTTTTGGAGCCTTTACAGCAGTTGATAACATTAAAGCCCGTCTCCTACCTTAGCTCTTCCTCGACTCCACCCTGTAATGTAACACACAAGTCACCTTGACTAAATTTCTCCCTCTCTGGATAGCCATCTGGGAGATGTGGAGGCAAAAAGAACAGCAACCTTACCTTTTAGTAGGGAACTTAAGACAGGAAATCATAGAAATATAAGGATGAATGGAATGAATTCCATTAAATTTTATGAAGAAATAGCAGGGTGCATAAAGAGGAAAAAGATCTGGCTTTGGGGGCATCTGGGAAAGTGTCTTGGAGGAGATAACTTTTCAGACCTTTCTTTAAGGAGGATTAGATGGAGGTAGGTAGGTGGAGGGAGCATGCCAAGCTGAAAGGCACAGTGAGAGGAAAGGTTCAGAACTGGCAAAACTGGGAGTGGAGAGTTACAAGTGCTTCTCTACGGAGGAGAGCGAGGGAGAAAAATGCAAAGGTTTAGGTCACGTTGTGGAGATTTTTAAATGGGATAACAGGATACATTTATCCTATAGTCCTCAAAGAGTCATTGATCATCTCTGAGAGAATAAATTCATGAGAGCGATGTCTCAGCTTTAGTGCACTTCAAAAGTTTCTCATTATCCTCTTCCTCTGTTTCTCATTATCCTCTTCCTCTGTTTTTAAGCTTGTTGCCTTATGTATTACATCCTCTTGTGGCCAAGGCATGCATCAAAAGCAAAGTTAACATGGTCACTGCAAGCTACATCACCCCACCACTAAAAGAATTAGAAAAGAGGTATGTTTTAGTCATTTTCAACAAAGTATAATAGCTCCATGGAGTTATTTTTATTTTACATCCAACTTTTCCTTGCTCTTCTTTCTACCTGTTGTAGTGTGGAAGATGCTGGCATTACGGTTATTGGCGAATTGGGATTGGACCCTGGTCTTGATCATATGTTGGCGATGGAAACCATAGATAAAGCCAAAGAAGTGGGAGCCACGGTGAGCGCAATTTATGCCCAAAAGCCTATTTAGGAAAACATGCAAAGGTCCAGGCTTTTGTGTTCGGAAATAATCTTTTCCCAATTTTAATTAAAAGGTGTTGCTGTAATCTAATTGATACTTTGACTAGAAATTTCAAGTAAAATTCTGTAACTGCAGAAAGATCTATCTGCATGGTAAAACAATGTCCAAGTCTTAACAATTTATTTTTAGAGCAAGAGATGCTACTATAATATTTTGGTTTAATAATAGATTTTAGACTACCTTGGAGATTCTGTTGTTCAGGACCTAGCATGGATGTGAGTCTCAGAACTTACTCCAGCAAAAGGACTATGAATGTGGATTATCTGTCACATACGAGGGATGCACTTGTCATCACAAGGGGTCGGATGAGTACAGGATGTTGTTACTCTTATGGGTACAGATTATTGGATGAAAGAAGACTGAGAATATCATAGACATTAGCAGCTCTGGAGGCAAACCTGGTCCCTTCTCCAAGCTGGATCCCCAGGTGAAAGCAGCCTTTACAAGAGCTTACATTAGGAAGTCCATCTTACCCCATAGTCACCTCAGGTAATAAAGACACCCAGACACAGCACAGGCCTATCACTGGATTCTGAATACTATGAGGAGTTAAATGAAGGTAACTCTCAACCTATTGAGAAAAAAAGATCAAGATGCTATGAAAACTGATGCTATGATCAAGAAAAGAACAGGGGCCGGCTGAGTGGCATGTTGGTTAGGAGTTGGCTTGGGAGTGCCAGCTCTGAGCGGCAGGACCCCGGTTCGGATCCCACATGAGGGCCAGTGACACTGCCCTCTATAGTTAAGATGGTGAACAATAGCTAGACCTGGAGCTGGGCTGCTGTGAGTTGCTGGCGATGGCGTAGGCTGCAGTGGGGCTGATCGGCAGCTGGCATGAGCTTTCGTGAGCTGCTGTGAGCCGCCATCAGTGGCTGTCCAATGGCCAGTGAACGACTGCCTTACCCGGGAAGAGCACAATGATAATACCAACATGGGCCAGTGAAGCGACGTCCTCCACAACTAGACTGAAGAACAAAAAGACAGCAACTTGTCTGTTCCACTTCCCCGATTCCCCAACACTGTTCCCTTCTCCCAACTCCCCAATAAAATCTTAAAAAAAAAAAAAGGACAAAATGTGCAAAGTCTTCAAAATCAGAAAAAGGAGCCCAGAAAAGGAAAAGGAAAAAGATCAAAGAAATGAAACCATTTTTCACCACTGAAAGTCACTTTTTACTTATCCTGCTGACTAGTCTAGCTGGTCTAGAGAATGCCTTCTTTTTGCCAAAGGAACCATGTTTTAGCATAAGTGGGGTGACTGAGTGGTCCATTATAAATAAATGGTGGCGCAGCTGGAAGGATGTCACCTGTAGGCTCATGCACACCTCTTATGGAGGTTAATAGGACTGCATGGGTCCTCCCCTTTATCCTGTCAATCTAATTAATTGCACTTCAGAATGACTTTGTGTAGTCAGAAGTAGAACCTACACATGGGCTTTGGGGTCAGATTTTATTTAACAATAATATGCCTGGGAACAGTGGCACTAGGGCAACTTTTGTAAGCTTAACAATTTTTCCTACTGGCCTTCATAGGATCAATGCTGATTTTTTTTTTAAGGTCGTTATTATTATGTGGTGAAATCTTGTAATTAAGTCACAATACAAAACAATCACCACCTAAAACCAGGTATTCTTATATAGTCAAATATCTTGTAAAATTTAAATTAGAAATAACAATATTCCACATGATGCATGTACAAATTCTCCTTAAGATTGTCCTCTTGTACAATAAAATATTGTTAATATATTCAAAATAGTTATGACTTTTAAAAGTGGGAATAATTCTTTACAATATTCATCTGTTGTTGTTATGAAATATGTTTTACCTCTGAGAAGGAGCTATTAGATATGAAAATGTGATGAATCATATTAAATGTTTTAGTTTTCATATATGTAATATATAAAATCAAATATGGAATCAAATTAATTGTAATTATATATCATATATTAATTATTACTTATTTAAAAATGAATATAATATATAATCAAATTATAATAAAATATATACCTTAAATAAAAAAGTCAGGAGGAACTGACCAAGCAGAATTGAATAATAGTTGGATTTTTAGCCAAACAAAATGTTAGTCACAAATCTCTAGAAGGGTTTTAAAAAAAATAATTATATATAAAATATAACTGTGACAAATGGTGTTTAGCTTTAAGGATGTATTTTGGAAAGCCTTAGTGACTTTAAGAAAGGAAAACTGTAGCAAGTTTATCTGCTACATGTCATAGTCGATTAATGTATTAGGCACATTATTCTCTTTAACTTACTATGAATTCCCCCTAATTTATTGATGCTTTATTTTACAGATTGAATCGTACGTTTCCTTTTGTGGCGGGCTTCCGGCCCCTGAACATTCCGACAATCCTTTGAGATACAAGTTCAGCTGGAGTCCCGTGGGAGTGCTGATGAACATAATGCAGCCCGCCACCTACCTGCTCGATGGAAAGGTGATGATTCTCATCAGAGCTTTAGAGATACAAAGCTGTGCTACCTGCCTGAGAAAGCCCAGACTTTCTCCCTGATGGCAAGGCCCTTTACTAACGGCTGTGCTGCGTGTGCTCCACCCTGTTCTCCTCGGGCATTTCGCAGTGTCTAGTTTCTGCTCCATGCAGTGTATCTCCTCATGGTTCCCAGCAGAGCCAGTGCACATTCTTTCCTCTTCCTGCAAGTTGTTTCCGCTTTTGGAAAAGTCACTTCTCAGCTCCTCTGCCTGTGTCAATACTGGTCATCTTGCGATTTATTTCAGCGTGACAAGCAATCCCTGAGTCCCTCCTCTGTGCTGCTTTGAGGCAAAGCTCCAAAGGTTGTCACACTGAACGAGATTCCTGGCTTCAGAGAGCTTACAGCGAGGATGTGGGGGCGGCTGTTGACATGGAGGGTTCCGCGGGTCAGGGAGAGAAGCTAGGTGTTTTTTCCCCAGCTGCTGTGTCCAGAATGCAAATGCTCTCTGAGTTTAGTATTCTCTTCATCACGTTACAATACATCAACTGTGACTGATAGAGGATGTTAAGAGCATTCAGCTGGGATTCAAACTCAGGTCTAAGTAACCCCAAAGCCTTTTCTTTCCCCCTGTACTGGATTGCCTCCCGGTGGGAAAGACAGACGCTGGAGTAATAGCTGTAAGCCAGTGAGAGAAGTTCCAAAGTGCCACACAAGCAGATGACAGGGCAGCTGATGTGACCTTGGTGAGGAGGTGGAGAGAAGAAAATTAGCAGAGGGGAGATGTGCTTGGTCAGCCGGGCAGGAACGCTGCCACTCATGCCTGGGCTAAGCAGCATCGTCTTTCGATTCTTACCATAACCCGACAGGGTTTATAAGGGAGCAAACGGGCATAAGGAGCTTCGCTAACAGCCACAGTTAAAGAGATCGAAGCGGCACAGCCAGTATCCAAGTCACATCTGTCTGCCTTCATAGTTTATCCTCTTAACCGAAGTGAAGACTCCTATTTGGGAGCAAACATGAGCAGACTGAGGGCCTCTCGTTAAGTTTGTGCCCAGGCACCCCCCTCACCCCAGCCCATGCCTGACCCTGCAGGGAGTGGTGAATTATATGATCAGATGTGTGTCTTGAAAAGATTCCTCTGGGAGCAGTATTATAAATTCTCAGTGTATCTGAGTCTGAATGTGTTTCGTGTACAGATAAAGGGGAAAAGTGAAAGCATTTCTTCTTAGAAACAAGGTGAATGTTGTTCTCAGCCAGGGTCTTCTGTGCCTGTGATAGGGTAGAGCTCACAGCCAGGCCAGCTTATGGAATACCGAGGTCCGGGCCCATCCCCAGAGCGTCTGCCTTGCCTGGCTTTGGGGATCTTTAAAACCTCCCCAAGTGATTCAAATGTGCAGCTGAATTTGAAAAGAACTGATTTAGTGACCAGAGGACAACAGCTGTACTTAAAACTCTACAAAACAAGCAATTTGATGCTGGAAAGATACATTCACGTGTTTCAGGGTATAAAATAGGACCCCTGACTTCTGGTCCACGTGTTGGCATCCCCTACAGTGTCGCCAAAGGCCAGGCATTTGTGAAGGTCTGCTGGCCATTCGTCTCCTGACATGTATTGTAGGCACCAAAATTCCATCTGGTTCCCTAATTCTGTGATCATGGAGGTCTGGGCAGGAAACTCAGCCTGACATTCTACCAGAGACACTTCTTTTTGATCTGCCACAGTCTGTCTCCTACTGCATTTCAACAGCTCCTTCCACCTTCTGCAGTTGTAAAAAAGAGACAGGCCTATGCTTGGAGACTAATGTGAATGCAGGAAAAATTCTTGCTTCAGTTGGGCAAAATGGTTGTTTTCAGGAGGCCATATAAATGACAAAGATGATGACAATGAAAGGATCTGCAGAGTGCAAGGACTTTGATGTCAGGGGGCCTGGCATTGTGCTCTAGCTCTGCTGTCACTGGCTGGGTGGCACTAGAATAATCATTTAGTCTCCCTGAGCTTTGGGATCCTTCTGAAAATAAACATAATAGTACCAGCCTTGCAGGGGTCTTGCATTAGGGCTCAAACGAGATCACATAGATTACAACTGGTTTAACGTAGATTACAATTAGATTGGCAGGCTCATGACTCCCTAGCAAATATTAGTCACATAAAGACATTGATGGTGGTGAGAACTCAGGAAAAGGTTATTTTCAGGCAGCAGCAGTTGAATTTGTTGAATTTGAAGTTTTTCCTTTTCATTCTGAACTCCTTTTGTAAAAAAACAAGGAGTGCTTTATTCATCTCCCTGACACTGCGGAGTACATGAAGAGAAAACATGATGTTTTTCTTCTTTTTGTTAAAATGATACTTTTTTTCAAGGTCCTACTCCAGTATCCTCTTGTGGATGCATCTTTTCCTGACCACTCCAGCCCCAATTCACTATTCTTTTGTCGGAACTCCCGCACTTTGATTGTCTGTGTCTAAGAATTTTCCGGATGCTGTATTATTCACTCTGTAATTCAAGTGTATCCGTCTGTCTCGCAGCCCAAAAGCCTCTTGTATTCTTGTCCCTCATCCCCTCTGTGGCCATGGAGTAGGCCATACATAATTCACAGAGTCATAAAAGGGGGGCCAGGTGATTCTGGTTTCTGCTTAAAGGGGAAGCCTTAAACTTTTCCAGCAACTTAGGCAGTAGCCTATGAATTAGGACATACCTCATGGTCCTACATCCTTGCAGTATTTCCAGCCACTGGTGCTATGTCTATCTTCTAATTCCATTCCTAACAAACCTGATTTCCTTCTATGTATTGGGAGACAGTGATTGTGCCTTCTCTTAGTTTTGTGCCCTCCGTGGGTGGTAAGGCACTCTCCTAGATTGGTGGCACCTGGGAGTGGTGTAGCAGAGCGTCACCATCATCTCCTTCAGCCTCCTCTCCCAAGCTACCCCCAGCTACACAAACACTGTAAGCCAAGACCATGCTTGCTCTGCAAACACAGCTTTGAGATAGGCTTTCTAGCCCTCAAGTTTGCCTGCATGTCAAGTTTGCCTTGACTGCAGCACCGAGCCCCTCCCTTGCAGGAAATCAGGAGCTGCTGCTGCTCTCCACTGCCTGCAACCCTGCTTAATGCAATTTTCAGGTGTCAAACTGGCACAGTCTGGAAAGCTGTGATCTTGTCCGTCAACACCCCTGTCAAGGTACCGACCAAGAAAACGGCAGTTAAGGGTATAGGTGTGGTATAGGAGAAGGAACATGGACATTGGAGTCGGGTAGGCCTGGGTTCAGATCTGCCTTGGGTGACTCAGCCTCAGTTTTCACCTCTGAAAAATGAGCTACTGCATGGATTAAAGGTGATGCATGTAAGGCAACTAGGACTCAGTGGCCCTGAGTAAATGATTGTGTATTTCCTGGGTTGTATTGTTAGTTTAGCAATCAAGCTCTTTATCAGGGATTCTGATTTGTTGGGAGGCTTGCACATGCATGTGCGTGTGTGTGTGCATGTGTAAGAGTTGGATGTATAGCAGCCTGCCACAGATGTGAATAATGAGCCACTGTTTCCACTGGGAGTGGGTCTTGGATGTGAGCAATGTCCAGTCAGGAAAAAAAAGGCATATTCTCTGCCAGATAGATAAATCTATCTGTTTCATCCAAGTCAGTAATAAGATATTAAAGAGGACAGGGCTTATTAATGAACCCCATGAATTGCCATTAGAAATACAACCCTGAGTTCATATCAAATGACAATGATTGCCTACTCATTTTTGGGTCAAGTTACTTTGGCAGCTGTCAATCTCTAAATGAATCATTACCATTCAGCTTACATTTCCCTATTTTCTTCACAAGAATATCATGGTCGACTTAGGAACCAACTGCTTTGTTTCTGATTAGTAAAATGCTGGAATATATAGAAGTCTTTTTTTTTTTTTTAAAGATTTTTATTGGGGAATTGGGGGATGGGAGCAGCGCTGGGGAATTGGGAGAAGGGGAACAGACAAGTTGCTGTCATTTTGTTCTTCAATCTAGTTGTGGAGGACGTTGCTTCACTGGCCCAAGTTGGCACCATCAGTGCGCTCTTCCCAGGTGAGGCAGATCAGTCACTGGCTTCTGGATGGCCGCTTACTGCGGCTGCTGGCTGCTCACACTGGCTGCTGGCTACACACGGTAGCCCATGGCAACCCAATGCAGCAGTGGCTGCAGCCTACGCCGTCGCCGGCGGCACAGGGCAATCCAGCTCCAGACTGATCAGTTGTTCAGCATCTTAGCTGTAGAGGGCAGTGTCACTGGCCCTCATATATGGGATCCGAACCAGGGCTCTCTGGCGTCCCAAGCCAGTTCTTAACCACTGCGCCACTCGGCCAGCCCATAGAAGTCTTTGTTGAATTTTTCTTTAAAAAAACTCCTAACCTTCAAACAAGTACACAAAACTTTAGAATTGCCATAGGTTATAGTCATGAGATGGGGATGGAGACCCTGAAAGTTAACAATTACCTTCTTAATAGATTTTTCTTTATAATTTAGAATACTGATAGAAGAAATTTGTTTAAAAGAGATAGTGCAGGAATGACCCCTTTGGAAATGTTTGCTTTACAGTCCAGAAGAGTTTCATAAGAGAAGTAAATGAAAAGCATTTCCTCACTTCCTTCAGTCTCACTCTCAGACCTGCAGACGGTGCATGGCTCTCTACAAAGTGAGCCTTTTAAATGGAGAGACTCTGCCAGGTCTGACTACAGGTGGCGTGGCCTGTTTTCTTCTGGGGCTTTTCAGCAACATGCACATACGTTTCCGTTTTCTCTTTCGTACCAAGGCACAGGCAGAATCTATCTACAAATAAACTCTGGGAATCATTACGTTTAACCAAAGACTCTTTTGGGCAAATCCCTCAGAATCCGTCTTACGGTACATGGCAGCTCCCTTGGGCAGGGTTGTTCTGTGCAGCTTTAGACACGTGATCAGAAATTGTTTCCAGTGGTGCCAGCAGGAGAAAAACCGGTTCCACCAGCACCACCACTGCCCCTTCCCTGGGAATCTCAGCCCTGATTTTATCACTGATTTTAAGATAGTTCCCGTTATCTTAAGGGGGATCGTAAACATCACAAGTTGAAAGAAAAACTTAGTCTTTTAATCAAAATAAAAGGAAAACAGTGTGTTGCTGAATTTTGAGCATGTGCCTGGGTGAGGGCTGCGAGTAAGGGCACTGCTGAGAAATGGAAAGAGCTTGGGAAGTGATTTAAGTTCCCACCAGCAGGAAGGTCGGAGTAGCACTGCTTTGCGTTTCACTGTGTGTTCATTGCACTGTCTTTCTCGTGACGGTACATCTCCCCCACTCCCTGTCCCCAACAGACACCTTAAGGTTGACTAGTTTAGGCTATGGACGCCTCACAGTTTCTCCAGCAGAGCTGGCACTTGGTAGACGTTCAGTAAATGTTCATTCAATGAATAAAAGAGTGAATGGAGACGGGAGTTGTATCTTATTCATCACTCTCCATATTCCCTCCGTGATGAGTAGGACCTGGACACACGTAGTAGGTGCTCAGTAAATGCTAGCTGTGTGAATGGAATGGACGAGGCCGGTGCCTGATGCGGCATTCAGAGGGAGAGAGGAAAAAGAACAGCGAGAATATTGCCCTTGTTCTTTGAGCATGGAAGCCGTTTCAATCAGTATCTGTTGCTTTTAGCATATTGTTTATTTAAAAACAAAACAAAAACTCTCGTGAAATAGAATTCGGTGCCCTCTTATCCAAGGGCAAGAAAAAGTAGAAAACAAGATCTTAGTAGAAAACCTAAAAGTTTTAAGTCAGATTTTAAAGCTTGGGAGAAAGGCCTTGCGAATTATGATGTTCGTGGGACAGCCTGAGTATGGGATGTTGATCGTGATAGTTTCATCAAGAGTATTTTTCACACCCTCTATTGCTTTCTTTTAAAACTTTGATTTCTTTCATTTGCATGTAGCACAGATAAACGCAAAGGGGAGCCCACTGTTTGTAACCCCACTGTGCCTTGTCCATGTTCCCCAGGTTGTGAATGTTGCAGGGGGGGTTTCCTTTCTCGATGCGGTTACTCCCATGGACTATTATCCTGGATTAAATTTGGAAGGCTATCCCAACAGAGACAGCACCAAATATGCTGAGATTTATGGCATCCCATCTGCGCACACTTTGTTGCGGGGGACCCTGCGATATAAGGTAAGCGGCCGTATTTCAGATGAAACGTTGTGTGCTTTGATACAACTGATGTCTACACTTCATTTTCCTGAGTAATCAAAGTACTTAGGATGAGGAACCAGGCTAGAGTCTTTTCTCAGGACTGTTGTTTTAGGAGACAACTCAAAATGACTTGAGCAAAAAGGGAATGTTTGGCTCATGAGCAGTGGGGTGCAGGCCAGGGACTAGCTGCAGGCCTAAGGAGCTTGGGGGTCACGTGACCTCACTGGGACTTGGTTTTTCTTCACCTCTCAGCTCTTTCTTCACGTATTGGCTGCAGCCCCAGGCTCCCCATCCTGATAGCCTCTTAGATTTAAAACAGTGAGAATGAAAAAGTGCATTTTCTTCATAGCCCAAAATATAATTTTTTGTTTCATTAGCCCTTGAGGTCAGTGGGATAAAATGTGCCAGTCAGCCTTGGCCTCTATTTTATGTCCCTAAAGCTGAAGATGTAGTCAGAGTCACTTTCCCCAAAGCAGATCTGAAATGTTTCCACAGTGAGGCGTAGGTTCGAGGAGCGTAAACACAAATGTCCACTGCACGTTTATTAATCACAAAAGAGTAGTGACAAGTATGACCAGATTGAAACAATCGGGGTAATAGTTTCCTAGGGCTGTTATAAAAAATTACTGCAAACTGGGTGGCTTAAAACAACAGAAATTTATTCTCTCACCATTCAGGAGGCCGGAAGTCTGAAATCCACGTGTGGGCGGTATTCATGCCTTCTGGGGGCTCTGAGGGGGAAACTTCCCATGGCGCTGAGGCTTTCCAAGCCATATTATTTAAAATCCCAACTCCCTAAAATCCCAGCATTTCCTATCGCCTTCCCTATATGAGGCAGGCGCCAGTCATCCGTGAACGCTGGTGCTTTTATTCCTATGTGAAAGACAATGGCGGAAAAAACTGATGTAAGAGCACAGGTTATTTCCACCGTGTCTGCTCATGAAGACTGGCTCCTGGTTCGCCTCGTTTCTCCGTGTCTAACTCCTATTTATTCTTTAAGAGAAGACAACCATTGCATTTCTTCCTCTTTAAAGCTTCTACTGCATTTACTGGCACTTAGCGTTTCCTCCCAGCATTTTTAGTCAGATTTTTTTTTTTCCTGTCTCCTGAGATAGATTTTAAGCTCCCGGAGGGCGGGCACCTATGTTCTCTGAATGTGATGGTCTCTCTGTCCCTAATCAAAGGAGATGCTTGTGATAATAACATCCTGAGGGGACCTAGGAACAACAGGTGTCCCACGAGCCTGTGGGCACAGAGGAAATTCCAGTCTGAATTGAAGCCATACCATCCCCAACCTGCTCGGGCAGACTTCTCCATTATGTTTTCTTCAATTTGTTCTAAGAATATAAGTAGTAAGTTTTCTATGGGGGAGGTTCCAGAAATTAGGATTTTCCAACAGCTTGAGGTATAGTCTCTTACCAAACATGTAGACCCAGAAACAGGATTTTAAGCTATTGAAGAATTAAATCAAGCTCTCAAGTGTATGGATGAGAGCACTCCCACGGGACCCTGGAGGATAGATGTCCCATTCATGAGGCCACCATCCTAAGCAATGTCAGCAACCCTTCAGTAACCTGTACATTCTCTTCAGTATTAGAGATGAGACACTGTCATCCGAGTGTGACAGGGACGTCGTGGCTCCTCTCCTGTCCCTGCCTGCCACCTGCTTGTCCTTGGAGACCCAGCTTGATAGCACCTTCCCGTGGGATCTTGCTTAGCTCCTTCTCCTCGACTCCCCTCCCCGCTTCTATGTGAGTGTCTGGTTCTCTGTGCTCCCATAGCTCTGGGCCCACCTCTGCTGTCGTTCCTATAATATCCTACTGCAGGGTGGTCATCAGTGGCCATGTAGTTTTGCCCACTGTGCACCAGGCACCTTCTGTTGAATTTATCAGGCCTCTTTACTGGACTAGTTCCTTCATGGGTGGGGACTGCATGTTTCAGCTCTGTGGCCTCAGCCTCTAGCACAAGTCCGACACGTGGCAGCAATGCTAAATGCCAATCGATGAATGAATACATACACTAAATTCATTTCACTATGAAAATATATTTCTGTGGTTAAGAAATAGCTCAGAAATGGCTCAGTGTTTCAGATATTGGATGAAGGGATCTCTGGCACTTGTCAGACCCTAGAAGCAAGCTGGGGGCCTGGCTTTTTTGTTTCTCCTCTTTGGAGTATATTTACGTTGGGTTAGAGCAAATAAATGTGAGTTCTTTCATTAGTAAACTTTGAACAGTTTGAATAATGCAACCTTTCAGAAATGTGAAAATTACTAGTTGGCCACACATTAAATGGTGAAATACCCAGTGACTACAGAAACTATTTTATATTTTAATACCTTTATTGCTTCCAAAGTAATCCCCCCCTTCCTCCTCTCCTTCTTCTCTTTCTCCTCCTCCTCCTCCTCCCTCTTCCTCCTTCTTCTTCTCTCTCTCTCTCCCTCCCTCCTTACCTCCCTCCCTGCCTCCCTCTGTAATTACAGTAGATACAAAGCTCCTTATTTCTTGGTCTTCCCATACCCCCTCTGCTCCCTGAACATACCATTATTGTCTTCCTTTACTTTATCATAATTGAAAATCTATTCATCCAGTCATTTGTTCTCTCAGCATACTGGAAAGCTGGAGAATGGGGTGAGGGTATGTAGATGAAGGACACACACACACTTTCTATACCTACAGTCCAGCGGCTATATAGACAATTAATTACAGTTTGTGTCAAGTGCCACAATATAGATATGTACAAAATGCTACAGGAACACAGGGAAGGGAGTGCCCATTCACCTAGTGGGCTCGGTAGGTACGCTGAGCCAGGTCTTAAGAGAGGAGTAAACATGTCATAGGTGAGGTAGGATGGCTCCCACGTTCCAGGCCCAGGGACAGCGTACACAGAGGCCCAGGTGTCTGGAGGAAGCACAGCATGTTAGGGGAATGGTGAGTAGTGGAGAAGATAGTAGTGAGTCAGGCTGGAGGGCATATTGGGATGGGTTTTAGATAATGTGCCAAGGACTTCAGACTTATCCTATAGAGGATGAAGGACACATGAGGAATTTTTATCAGAGTGACGCCATTTTAGAAAAATCTCTCTGCTCCACCTTTTTCCCCCCTGCTTCTCATATGCGTTAGGGTGGTGGCTCTCAGTAGGATGGATTATCTGCTTGGGGGCTATTCTTACAAGCTCCTTCTCCCATCATGAGAGACAAAAGCTGTTCTATTAAATACTATTTTGCTGAACTGAAAGCATATAAACAAGAGGACATTTGCCCTTGTGCTGCCAGAAAATACCCCTCACATGAACCCAGCAACAAAGTAAAGACCCATGTTTTGCAAGGTCTCTTATGTAAACCAGTGGAATTGTTGTGACACTATTGATTTTAATTTGAACCTGACAGAGGTTGCATCCATACTAGCGGTACGAATGATTGTCTTCAGCCTGATTTCTAAACGAGTGGTAACAATAGATCCCTCATTTCAAAAAAGGCTTTGAATTTTTTTCTTTGAAGAGAAAATCGTCATATGCTGATTAATAATTCTTGTTACAGGGATATGCCAAAGCCGTGCACGGGTTTGTGAAATTGGGTCTTATAAACAGAGATGCATTTCCTGCCCTTCAAGCCGAGGCCAAGCCTCTCACCTGGGTGAGTGACTCCAGAATTATACACTGTCTGCTGCTCTTCAGAGATGCCTTATGACATAGGTTTGAACTTGGGTTTGGATCAGCAAAAGAACCCATTCTGTGGCTTATGTGCAGGGAGAAAGCCCCCTTTCCCTTCCCTGTTACGGGAGGGTGGTGAGAGCATGGAAGGGGACTCACCTGGTCTATTTCTGGCAGCACCTTCTGCCACTTGATCACTCCCTCAGACCTGGGAAGAGATGGACTTGCTTTCTGCACTGGGCTCTGGGCTCTGCCACTTGTCTAAGTGGTGACCCAGTGACAGGAGTGAAGTTTGGGCCTCCTGAAACTCATAATGCAGGGGAGCTGCTGGTGGTATCATGGAACTGGGTTCCCAGCCCGTGAAACCGATCGGTTCTTTCATTTGGCCATTTGTAACTATGAGTAACTTGAGTTTTCAGTTACTGAGTTTATACCCATATCGATGTTTTATTAAAATCCTAGAGTCTTAGAGTTGGGAGGGACTTTGGAGCCTTGGAGCTGCGTGTAGATCTTCCACTAACTTCCAGGAATTAACTTGTTACTGGGTGGTCATCCAACTTAATGTGCTTATTTCCAATAAAAATGCCAGAAATTTGTCACAAGGAGAAAAGGATCAAAATTTCTAATCCCAGTAAGTCTCCCAAAGAAACTCTGGTAATCTTGCTAGCCAGTTGCTTATAAATTCAGTTTTTGTGTGTGTATCTGAGAACCTTCCCAGATGTTTAACCTTTCATAAGTGTACTTGTTTGGCAGGAGTGAATGGATACTCATAGGGCGACTCTGGGGTTGAGGTAGCTGCATTTTGGGCAGGTTGGTACCGGATTCTGGGGGCTGGTTCCAGTATCTTGGTAGCTACAGTCTAGAATAAGGGGTTGGAAAACTTCTTTTTTTTTTTTTTTTTTTTTTTTGTCAAAGACCAGATTGAAGATATATTAGGCTTTATGGGCCATGTGGTTTCTGTCAGCCTACTCAGTTCTGCTGTAGGCAACACATAAACAAATAAGCAAGTTCTAGTAAAACTTTTACTTACAAAGCCAGGGGGTGAGTGAATTTGGCCTGTGAACCAGTTTGTCGACCCTTAATCTCAAGCATAACTTTTCCCTTAGGAGTTTGGAAAAAGTCTTATTTAGAAATAAAAAGTTATGACCACCACTTAAGTGTTCTTCCTTTGAGGTTTTATTATCTGCAAGGTCTTTCTCATCTCTTGAATCGACAAAAGAACTCTGGTTGCTACTAGCAACCACCGCAATAAGCTCCTTCCACTTTATCTTGACCAAAAAGGACTGCTGGAGGGTAAGGCAGAATGGGTGAAAATGTGATGGAGAGGATATGCAAAGACAGGAAATGCGATGGTGAATAAGATACCGTCCGTTTAGTATTGATTTAATGTTATGATCCATTTTTATTGCTAAAATATCATTCTGGAATACCATGCATTTATTGGTGTGTGGGCGTTCAGGCGTGTGTATGCACATGAATGTGTTACAATTTACTATTTTTAATTTAAAATTTGGGATGCATTTGAGGTCCAGTGTCTTAATAAAATACTTCTCAACTTATTTTATTAGGAACTTAGAAGTTTTACTTTTCTATTTCTAACCAGAAAGAGCTCCTCTGTGATCTAGTTGGGATTTCTCGCTCCTCCAAGCATGATGTGCTGAAGGAAGCTGTCTCTAAGAAACTAGGAGGAGACAAAACCCAGCTGGAGGCTGTTGAACAGTAAGTACCCACTAGTCAGCTTAGAGCAAAATAGTGGATGGATGGTTGCTTAGCCCTTTCTCGTCAAAGAAAGGTCAAAATAGAACCAAACGTTTTACATCGTCTTTGATTAATTTGCTGCTCTACTGTTGGCCTGTTGTAGAGAGATTACCACATACCATATCTAGGGGTAAACCTAGATAAAGAGAGAAATGCAATGGCAATTATAACTTGGGAAATACTTATTTTGAGACACTTGACTACTCAGCTCCCGAGAAAGGAGGGATATTTTTTCTCTCCTGTAGGAGATTCTGCCAGTCTTCCTCTAACTGCTTTAACACACTCATCCACATGTCTGTGGTACATTTCACTGGTATCTTTAATGTGGGAGGACTAACCTGACAGTTAATCTCATCAAAAGCTTTGCGGCAGCGTGGACTTCCAATGTATCAGTTCTGCTCCAGGTAGCAGTGCCTTGGGGAGTCTGGGGATGATTGTAATGATTAAGACATTAACACTGTTATTATTATTTTATACTTCAGGACAGTGCTATAATTTGAACTGTCATCTTGTGATTCTGCCTTCTTAAGATTAAATCCTGGGAGAGCTACCTTCGGCTCCCAAGTGGGAATATGTACAGGACTTGACCTAATGCAGCCATCTCTTGTGCTTTGCAGGTTGGGCTTACTTGGGAATGAACAAGTCCCGCAGGCCGAATCTGTTGTGGATGCGCTCTCCAAGCATTTGGCTATGAAACTGTCCTACGGTAGGCCATGGGCTATTAGCTGAACATCCCAGAAGAAGAACCATAAGACGTAATCAGGCAACTTAGATTGGAGGACTGGAGCCAAGCAGTAGAAGTGGGGGAGTATGATATGAGGGAAGGCACACCTGGGCTAGTTTTCCAGAGGGAAAAATAAGAGAATTATTAAGAGTGAACTTTGGTAATATGGGAAAGGAAAAAAAAATTATTAGTATTCCCTTTAATTTTTAACCCATTAGGAAATGCTGAAGGAGCATTTTTGAGGGAAAAGTGGGTAGACTCTATAGCAGTGCCCTCGAGTCGATAGCCAGGCTGTAGTGACAACAACCTGAATAGAAGAACGTGATTAGAGTTATAATTTCCTTGAGTTTTTCACTTGCTCTTTGGGCTAAAAAGCATTGTAAGTAATTGTCTGAGGACCATGTATAATGCGAGAGGAAACTTGTGAGAGCAGAAAGGGGAGAATACGATATTGTAGCTGTAATAATAGAGGCATTTTAAAATGTCTATTTATTTTAAGGTCCTGGAGAGAGAGATATGATCGTGATGAGAGACAGCTTTGGAATCAGACATCCTTCTGGACATTTAGAAAATAAAACTATTGATCTTGTGGTTTATGGAGAAGTCAATGGCTTTTCAGCCATGGCTAAAACTGTGGGGTTACCCACCGCTATGGCGGCCAAGATGTTGCTGAATGGTAAGTTCTTTCATTGGAGGGCTGAGCCTGTCTCCATAGCATCTCCAAGTCATTCAGTGCCTGGACATCAAGTAACTACTCTTGAGTATGACATTAGCATTCACTAAAAGTGAGCCGTCTTAGAAAATCCAAGTGCTGGCTGACTGGGAGGTCACCCTATGGTGAGGAGAAAACATGGATTTTAGAGTTAGACCTGATTTCTGTCCCAGCTCAGTCACAATATTGGCTGAGTGATAGGGTTCAAGCTTCACAACATCTCTGAACCAGAGTTTCCTCATCTATAAAGTGGGGATTGCCATCTCTAATGTTTAGGGTTGTTGTGACACTACAGAGAAATAATACATAAAGCTCTTACCACATAGAGGGGCCCTCAGGGCATGTGAACTCCCTTCCTTTCTTTCCTTGGTTTTCATGTTTTGGTGGTAGTAACACTGAAACAGAGCATAGATCTTTAATAAGAGAGACAATGTTTTATTAATCTTCAAATCTCAGTATATTATCAGTATTCAATAAATACTTTGGACAAAATAAATTCAAATTCCAGCTGTCACTCTTCCCTTAGGGTCATGTTTGTGTTCAAATAAGCATGACCTCTGAATATAATACCCCATTTGGCCATTCTGAAAGTGTGAGGGGAATAGAAAACATCAAAGCATGTCGATACCACATAATGAGAAAACATGGATCTTCAATAGCATATAGCTAATATCAAATTAAACCACATCCTTAGTGTTTGAGGAACCAGAGTGAAGAAGTGATGAAGGGTGAGGTCATCATGGCCTTTAAGGAAAGTGCCCGGACTTACTGTTTCAGCAATCCTAGCAGACGCCCGTGCCCAAATAACCAGATTGGCTTTAATTCATTCTGTTGGTGTTATACTTTTAAATACAATGGCATCGGCAAATAAACCGGACCGGTTAGGTTTACTCTACTTTCTTACTGTATTCTCTGATTGTTTGGGCAGGAGCAAATGTAGTTGAATGTATAAATTCTGAGTCCCTAAGTCCAGCTGCATTTTCAATCTCAAATGAACCCTATTTCCTTCCAGAGTGTCGATTAAGTAATAATGTAGCAGGGGACATGTAAGCAGCCATTTAAAACAAAATGCCTCAGCCTCCAGCGATTCATTGACTCTGAGTTGACTGCTATCTGGAGACACTTGCTGTAGAAATTAATATTTAATGCCACCTTTAAAATGGGAACTACAAATTAAATTTTTTTTTTCAGGTGAAATTCACACAAAAGGCCTGATAGGGCCCTTTACAAAGGAGATCTACAGACCAATATTGGAGCGCATTAAAGCAGAAGGCATTATCTATACTACACAGAGCACGATCAGGTCTTAATTGAGAATTATATTTTGCTTTTCTCTTCCCAGGCAACACAGCTCTGAACATTTATGCAACACACATTTGCTACTGTGCCATTTAAAATATAAAACATGATATATTTTGATTGTCATGACAATGGAATTTTGCAATATAAACCTCTATTTTAATATGAAAACATTTGTAACAGGGAATGCCAGTAATTACCAGAGAACTTTAATAATTCTATCATGTATTTTTTCACGTGTATGTAAAAGTGATAATGATTGTGCTATTTGTTAATTTATTGTGCAACTTTTTTTCCTACAAGAATGTATTTTCCTATATTCAGCAGATGCAGGTTCATCTTTTTAGATATAAAAAAATTTCCTCAACACCACAGAAATACAAAGGCTCACAAGAGACTCTACAAATAATTACATGTCAACAGGTTGGAAAATCTAGAAGAAATGGATAAATTCCTAGAAACACACAATCTTTCAAGCCTAAAATCATGAAGAAATAGAAAATCTGAATAGATCAATTACAAGTAATGAAATTGAATCAGTAATTTAAAAACTCCCCCAAAATCAAAGTTCAGGACTAGACTGTTTCACAGATAAATTCTATGAAACATTTAAGAAGAGTTAACACCTATCTTTCTTAAATGATTCCAAGAAATAAGAGAGGAAGGAACACTTCTAAACTCATAGGAATAGATTGAGAGTCCAGAAATAACCTTCACATATGGTCAATTGACTTCTGAAAAGGGTGCTAACACAATTTAATAGAGGAAAGTAGTCTTTTCACCAAATGGTGCTGGAACAACTGTATATCCACATGGGAAGGAATTGAAGATGGACCCTTAACCTCACAGCATATATAAAAATTAACTCAAAGTGAACCAAAGAGCAAACGCTATAAAACTTTTAGGAAAAAATCATAGGTGTAAGTCTTCATAATCTTGGATTATACAATGGTTTCTTAAATGACACCAGAAGTATAAGCAACAAAAGGAAAAAAAATACATAAATTAGGCATTATTAGAGTTTAAAAACTTTTATGCTTCCAAGAATACCATCAAGAAAGCAAAACGACAATCCACAAAATGAGAGAAGATTTTTGCAAATCATATATCAGGTAAGGGAGGAAATTGTATTTTAGAATGTATGAAGAACTACTATGACACAATAAAAAGACAAAGATCCCAATTTAAAGAAATGGACAAAAGATTTGAATTTACAGTTGTCTAAAGAGGGTATACAAAAGGTCAGCAAGCACACGGAAACATGCTCAACCTCAGGGAAATGCAAATCAAACTTATGGTGAGATACCACTTCATACGCACCAGGATAGTTTTAATGAAAAAGATAATAATAAGTGTTGGTGAGGATGTAGAGAAATTAGAACCCTCATAAAATGCTAGTGGAAATGTAAGATGGTACAGCCGCTTGGGAAAACAATTTGGCAATTCCACAAAAGCTTAAACACAGAGTTACGACATGACCCAGCAAATCCACTCTTAGGTCTATACCCAAGTAAAATGAAAATGTATGTCCACACAAAAATTTGTAAACAAATGTTCATAGCAGCAATATTCATACTAACTAAAAACGAAAACAAGCCAAATGTCCAATAAATGCATATCCATATGCTGGAATTGGGGTCTTTGTCTTTTCATTTGGCGATAAAAAGAAAAATGAAGTACTGACACATGGTACAACATGGATGAACCTTGAAAACATTATGCTAAGTGAAAGATACCAGACAGAAAAGGCCATATATGTGAGTTTGTTTATATGAAATGTCCAGAATAGTCAAATCTATAAATAGAGAAACTAGATTAGTAGTTGCTTAGAGCTGGTGGGTTTAGGGGTGCAAGAGAGTGACAGCTGAGTGTGGGCTTTCTTTTTGGGGTGGTGAAAATGTAGAGCTGATTGTGATAATGGGTGCACAACTCTGTGAATATACTTAAGAAACCACTGTATCTTATACTTTGAATATGTGAATTGTATCGGATGTGAATTATATCTCAAGTTGTTATAAAGAAGATTAAATTACAAATAAAACTTTTTTTGCTCCTTGGGGAAAATTGCATATATATATATATATATATATATATATATATATATATATATATATATATATATATATATATATATATATATATATATTCACGAGTAAGGACATTTCTGTTATGGCAGTTTTTTTTTTTTTTTTTTTACCACTACATTGAGTTTAACACAATCAATTTGGAAATACAATTGACTGCACCCCGATGAAGAGTGGCCCCGATGGAATGGGAACTAGGAAACTAGCACCTTGGGTGGGAGGGGGAACCTGTTGAGATCCCAACATAATTACCTGCTCTGGGCTTTGGTCACAGCGATAAAGGGGATTTGATTGAAGAGCTGGCCTAATGTCAGCACTGGAAAAGGAAATGTCCGTGAGCTCAAGTAAAGATAAGTGTAATCAAACCCTGCATTGGCTCTCAGTTACAGGTTTTCCAGCAGAAATTTCATTAATAACGATGGTGGTGGTAGGATTCAGGGAAGAATGGTTAGGTTATAGCTATAAGCTTATGCACACGCCTACCGATGGGAAGGGACATTTCTATAAAGAGTGGGATTCCAAATTACTTAGGCTTTGCAGGCCAAGGAGTGTCACAACTGCTCATTTCTGCCTTTGTAGTGTGAAAGCAGCCACAGATAGTACATAAATGAGCGGACATGACTGTGTGCCAATAAAACTTTATTTACAAAAGCAGGTGATGGGCAGACTTGGCCTTTAAGCCATAGTTTGTGAACCCCTGGTCTAACCATTTTGGTAGTCTCAATGCTCATATCTTCCAGATCTTTCTACCTCTTTTGGCCTCTTTCAGATAACATTGATTTTCTATTGTCCAGTTTTCCTTGTCCTAGACCCTTGAGGTTTTAGACCCTTCACCTTTGAGAAGCAGTGTGATTAGTTCTACAACATACTGTGTCCTTCATAAAATGAAAATAGTGGTAACTCTCAAGGTGGTTATAAAGGCTAATGAGATAATGTAAGAGAAAAGCCTGATACCTAGCATTCTCTTTTTTACAATAACATCTTTGCCTGAAGTTTAGGTAAAAGTTAATGAGATTTTACCTTTGAGATTTTTTTTTCCAATCTTTTGGAAGACTTCTCAAATACCCATGCTGCTTAAACTATAGATGTTACCGACTCCACAGTGAGAATCTTAAAGTGACTGTAGAGTGGAAAGGCCCAAAATAATCATTTGGCCAGGCCTTTGATTTTACAGAAGAGAAAATGTGTCTCACAAAGTTAAATGGCTAACCTATGGTGACAAGACTTGATATTGATATTTGATCGTCTTTTTTTTTTTTTTTAAAGATTTTTATTGGGGAATTGTGGGATGGGAACAGTGCTGGGGAATTGGGGTAGGGGAACAGACAAGTTGCTGTGGTTTTGTTCTTCAATCTAGTTGTGGAGGATGTTGCTTCACTGGCCCAAGTTGGCACCATCATTGCGCTCTTCCTGGTAGAGGCAGATCAGTCGCCGGCTTCTGGATGGCTGTTCACAGCGGCTGCTGGCCGCTCACTCTGGCTGCTGGCTACATACGGTAGCCCGTGGCAACCCACTGCAGCAGGGGCTGCAGCCTACGCTGTCGCCGGTGACTCACAGCAGCCCAGCTCCAGGTTAAGCTGTTGTTCAGCATCTTAGCTGTAGAGGGCACAGTGTCACCGGCCCTCATATGTGGGATCCGAACTGAGGCCCTCTGGGGTCCCAAGCCAGTTTTTAACCATCGTGCCATTCGGCCGGCCCTTGATCGTCTTTTGAAGACTCGAAATACTTGAAAAAATTTAGGAAGCACTCTGATTTATAAAACATCTCTTACTGTAGGTTATTAGGGCCACCACTAGCTGACATGATGCCTTTTTGAGAATTAGAGAAAAGCACTCCTTCTTTAAGACACTTATTTCTATCTGTTAAAAAATTATCATCAAATATGTAATTTATTAGAATACACTTTACTACCCTCTGATGGAAAATCAGCATAATAAGTATTAATCATACTAAATACATGTTATAATAAATATTCAATGTCTGCGATGCGATTACCTCCCCTGTAGATGCCGTGCACAATTTGCAGTCATACAAAGTAGCTAATCTTATCGCTATAAGATTGTTGTACAAATTAACTTTCTTCACAATGGTTGACATTTGTTGATGGTTGACAATGGAACCCCATTTACCAGAACTGAATTCCACTGGAAAGGATCCAGTTAGAAAAGACTGAACACGGCACCTTGAGCTAAGCAGCCGAGAGCTGCCGACTGGCGATGGGATGACGACTGGCCTTGGAGCTCAGCTAGCTGCGCCCTCCACAACTAAGATAGAAGGACAACTTGGCTGTTCTCCTTCCCCAATTACCCATTAAAATCTTAAAAAAAAAAAAAGTCCACCTAGATTCAAGGGGAGAGGCCACAGACCCCACTTTTCAATGGGATGACTTTCAGAGTCACCTGTGAGATGGACGATATTGTTGGGCAATTTTTGCAAAATACAATCTACCACAGGAAGTCTCCCTAGAGAAGTGGCAGGTAGCTGGATTCTGTGAATACATAGCAATGACCTGTTATTAATATTTCCTCACTGGCCTTAATTATTTTCTAAACATTTCAGTTTTTATCTAGGAACTTCTTTGAACCTTTTCATGTATCCCCATGAGCTTAGAGCTGGACATACTGTATAGACAAAATATGGAATTTTTTTTTTTTTAAGATTTTTACTGGGGAATTGGGGAAAGGGGAACAGACAAGCTGCTGTCCTGTTCTTCAGTCTAGTTGTGGAGGACGTTGCTTCACTTGCCCAAGTTGGCACCATCATTGTGCTCTTCCCGGGCGAGGCAGATCAGTCACCGGCTTCTGGACGGCTGCTCACTGTGGCTGCTGGCCACACACGGTAGCCCATGGCAACCCACTGCCACAGGGACTGCAGCCCACGCCGTCGCCGGCGACTCATGGCAGCCCAGCTCCAGGTTGAGCTGTTGTTCAGCATCTTAGCTGTGGAGGGCAGTGTCACTGGCCCTCATATGTGGGATCTGAACCGGGGCCCTCTGGCATCCCAAGCGAGTTCTTAACCATTGCGCCACTCTGCCGGCCCTATGGAATGTTTTTTTATTTCACTCTCTAAAAAGTGGTTTTAATGTCCTGAGTCTATTGAAAAGCTTGAACGAAAGCTGCTGTAAGAGACTTAATATTTTTCAGTGGAAACTTAACGCTATAGTTTTCAATACATAGCTTCATTAAACAAGTTAGCAGCAAGGAAAGAATTAATTGCATCTGTTTATTTCTCTGTGTGCATAGTTTAGAACTGAGGCAACTCCCTGAGGATTGAAGCAAGATAATAAAAATATGGGAGATGCAGCAAATGGCATTCCTGAAGTTGTGGAGGAAAGTATTGTAAATTAGCATATTTGGGAAGTTTTTCAAAGGTCTGTCTCTGGTGGCCTGCTTAGAATGTGTCACAGCTGACAGACTGATTAGAAGGTATTGTGCATGTAACAAGAAATTTCAATCTGACACCCACAGTTTTTCTTACTCTCACTTCCAAATCTTGTTTTCCTTTTTTAAAATGATTACCTTAAAAACACTTGTTAACTATAATTTAATGCCAGGGATGTCTAGATTCTTAAAACTGGTGTAGGGTGTTTCATTGATATGTCAACATTTAATACCACCTACTCTAATATGCTAATATTGTACTAATGAGGAGACCTCTAATGTACCACAATATTTTGCAATTAGCAAGTGAGTGGATAACATTCAATCATTTATAATTTCATAATAACAAAATTGTCTTTTATTTATTTTCACACATGTGAAGAGTTTCTCTCTTTCCCTAAAATGTTAATTTTAATTTAGTAAATGTTTAGTATTTCTAATTCTATGTGCTATTTGTGAGTGGAATTCAATTCTAAGAAAATATTTTAAAATGTATCTGGTTGTACAGAAATCTTATTTTCCAAGTTTTGTATGTTAGAGAAATGGTCTAAGTGATTTTACATGCTAACAAATTAGGGGGTTTCAGATTAGAAATATGAAAATTAAGTAAGATTCTATGACAATATTAAGTAGAATATGTATGTATTAAATGTTTGTATTAATTTTATATGAAGAAACAGCTGCCATAAATTCTCACAGAGTATCATCCTGGAACAATGATGGAGTTTATGGTTCTGGTGCATGTAACTAAATAGATGGATTATGCTCATCCTTAATAGTTTCGTGAGGTTGTAAAACTGCTCTACAGGATTTAAAATTGGAGATAAAGTCTGTACAGAACACCTTTTTTTTTCAATTGGGCAAATTTACAAAGGTGGTACAGAAAAAACTAGGAATAGACATTTTGTCAAAATTGGTATTTATTACATGTTGAGGAACATTACCTACCAGAGTGTCAGGTTTTCCAGGACTATTAGAGTATTTTTGCTCTGAGTAAAAATCAATTCATTCATTCATCCATCCATTCAATACACCTAAAATGTACTGATGGCCTTTAATGTGCCAGATACAGTTCTAGGTGTGGGAATATGATGTTAAAAAAGTCAACATTCATCTCCTCATGGAGCTTACATACTAACAGAGGAGACAGACAACAAGCCAATATAAAACATGTCAGGAAACAAAATCTGCTATTGAGAAAATTAAAGCAGGACAAGGAGATGAGGAGGTCCTGGGGCGAAGAGGGTGTGGAGAGGAGGCTGCCATTTGGCTGGTACACACAGGACAGTGAGCCAGCCCATGTCTCTTGTCATGATCAGGGCTAAATACATAGAATATCTTCCTTGGGAGGAGTGGATGCTACTTCAGACAGGCCAATCTGGGAACGATGCTCTGAGGCAGAGATATCTAAGCAGAGGCCTGAACCCATGAGTGGAAAAAGAGGACGTGAATATCTTGCCAGGGCAAGTGTAAGCTGTACAACTCTATTGGAAAGTGAGACAGTATTAAGACATAAATTTGTTCATACAATCTGCTCCCCACATGATACAGAAATCGGTACTTACTTACTTGGCTTCATTTGTTTTCACTACTCTCATAGTTGAATATTGTTTCAGCGTTAAGGGTCAGGAGATGTGGAAAGACTGCTATACCTGACAGGAACTTTCTTTGCTATTGGTTTCAGGGTATACTTATTAGAATGTGTCTATAAAATGCTTAATTATAAATGTTACTTGCATAATTACTTTCTCTTTGCAGAGATTCTGCAAGGTATATCACTAATAAATAACCATCAAAGGAAAACAAAAACATCTTTCTCCCCTCAAAGGCAGTTTGCTCCTGGGACAAAGGCTAACAGAAAAATAGACAAAATAATGAAGGTGATATGTACTTCTTCTGTTCAGATCAGCTTATGATTGGGCTTTGTTTATGGGGAAACAAAACTGTAAAGAGGACTAGGAGTAGGTTAGAAAAGCAATCAAAGAATCAAAATTAACCCGGTGACCTTTCCCCCCGGAAGGGTGAAAAAGCAGCATACTCTTTTTTTTTATACCCCGCTGAGCAGTGCTTATCAACATTTTGTGATTTGTGACACTATTATTTGTTTTCCTATTTCATATCTTTTCATGACTATTGCTTTAAAAAGAAAGCTTCAAAAAAATAAATAAAAAGGAACTCACTAATTTTGGTTCTATTTTCAGGATTTAATGAAAATTTTGATATTGCTTGAGGCAACTGGAGGCCCCCTGAATTGTTGATAAAGAGCAGTGGTTCTCAGACTTGAACATGAGTTAGACTGTTGAAGCCCAACCTCAGGGTTTCTGATGTGGTAGATCTGGGATGGGAATCTAGGATTTGCATTTCTAACAAGTTCCCAGGTTTTGCTCATGCTGCTAGTCTGGGAACCACACTCTGAGAATCACTGGTTGCATTGCAACTTTTCCTGGCCTCCTGCGTTAGTCCTTGAGCTGGGCATTCTTGGAAATCAGTGCCCGCTTCAGCACTCAGTGCTATAAAACACTCCTGGCTGAGGCAGGGGACTGCTTCCAGTAGGCTCGTTACCCATGATTCCCTGTTTCCCCGCATGTCAGCTGCATACAGCTTTTGGATTTGGACAGTTTGCCTTAACACAGGACTTCTTACCTTTTTCCCTTCTGGGATTTGTGTCCTCCTGAACCTTGTCTGTTTATCTACGTGGCTTCCAAACCAGCGAAGTTTGTCCCTGACTGTCAAATCTGCCTGGTTCTAACTCCCAGCTTGGTTCTAAACCAAAATTTCCCAACATTTCTTGGTAAACGGTGCCCATAACTTCTCAGTAACCTTTTCGTAGCTCCACTAATCCAAAAGAAATACTCAGTGGTCCTGTTTATTAAGTAATTAGGTCTAAATAATTTAATAGTTGTATGGTGTTAGTATATGTTACTGTGTTGTCCTCAAAAATATAAAATTTTGTGAAATCCCTGTGTGCCTCAATGCACAGTTTGGGATTCACAGCTCTATACACTGTCCCATCCCATCAACCTTTTTTCATTTCCTTTATCCCAGCAGGACCCACATCCACAATTTGCTGTTACACATGCCCCAGCACACTTCACAGGCAAAAGCAAAGTGATGGCAATATTTATATTTATTTTTGCAATGCCTCGGATAAAAACCATTTAAACAATATTGGGTAAGGTGTTATTTTCATAAAAACATCTTTCAAAACAAATGTACTTCTATTTTCCATAAAAGTTAAAATTACATGCTAAAAACAGTTAATTGCTGAGATAACACGGAACAATATCAGAAGATTTATAGAATAAGACCAGATAATGAGCTATATCATTAAACTAAACAGTTACACAGAACTAGAAAACTTACTCAGTAGTAAAATATAAAAATCTACAATTATAAATATAAATTTGGTCCATAGAGACACTAGAGCAGTATTTACAGTAAGTATCAGATTATTTCTACTTTAGGTGAATACTGCAGTTGTAAAATGTTGAATATCATAGGGAACAGAGCATTTTATTTACAGTCGACTATATTAAAAGTTATATTTCTAGCAAACCTGATGAATGCTACAAATATAGCTAAAAATTTGACACTAAAAACAAACATGTTTTCTGTAATCGGGAATTCCTAATACCTATAAGTGGAAATTTTCTGTTAAAATCAATACAAAAAAACCACCATAATTCCATTCTAGAAATACTGTAAAATTCAATCATTTTAGTTTAAACAACAGAGTAAGTGAATTACAAGAAGTTCTGCAAAAAGGCACACATTGTTAATGATATAAATTTGGCAGCAGAATCCTATGTCATGAAAGTTACTGGCAGGTGATGGGAAGAAAACGTAACAGAAAAATGGAACTGATTTTCCTGTCTGATTTCAGAAGGAGGGAAACAGTGCTCAGACAGGGACTTTCCTCACTCCTTTCTGTATTAAACTAAAGACTCTAAGCTCTCAGCTATATTTCCATCAGGCAGCGCCGTGCCATTGCTGTCCAGAGACGTGGACGGGTTCTCTTCCTGCCTTGTGCTCACAAGGCTGAGGACGGCTTTATAGAGAAACTGATACTGCTCCTAGGGGACAGAGAACAAGAGGTTAGAAATAGGAAGCTCCGTGAAGACATACGTTTGTAAACAGAAGACATATTTTTAGTTGCGCTTCAGCACCGTTTGTGGAAGGCTTCTGTTACACTCAGCAGAGGCACACAAATCTATATTAATGTCTCCTCCGGCTTACATTTAAAACAGCTTTGCAATTAGTCAACATTCATTGTCCTAGAAAACCGGCTCCCATCCATTTTCCGATGGCAAGCACTCCATTCTTATTTGTTTACTTCATGGAGTCAGGTGACATGACAGGGTTCGGTTACTGATTTATCCACATGTGTATTAAGCCCTTTGGCACTAGGCATTTTGTAACCACTCACAAATAAGTTATTCATTCTCATTTCTCCAGTTGTTATGAAATCTATTAGGTTTGTGTATGTATGGAGAGGTCTCAGAAAGGACGGCATTGTCAGCTCAGGGATTCAGGCAGAGGTTAGGCCACTGTTAACCAAGTATTCTTCACTCTCTACCCGCCTGACAGCTCCTATGCCCTGCTTTGAGCGAAGGTGGGTGAGTGACCTGCTGTGGTCTCACAGTGCAGACACACAGGAGCCTAAAGTAGTTTTCCTCTTACAGACACCAGTCTGTGTGGTGGGGGCTGGGGGAAGGCAGTCACAGAGCGTGTGAGTCTACCAGCATCAAAGCGGAACATCATTAGGACCACATGTGAGCTGGTGCACCATTGAGTGCATTCATGACATGGATGAAAGTTCAATGTCGCGAAAGCAATTTCACACAGGACAAACTTGATATAAGTCAACTGATCTGAGTGAGATTTTTGATAGGAGCTCCTATGAAGCACAGGTGTGCAAGGGTTACCTTGCACCCTGGTCCAGCACTCTGGGCTGGAGCTTTGAAGATGGATCTTTGATGAATCTCTGATATGTACAAAGACCACGGAGCTGAACTGGAGCCTTCACTCTACGTCCACGTAAGTTTCTCCCCTTGGAGCATTTGCACTAAGTTCCCTATTGCCTTTTCAGCCCATATTTCTACAATAATAAACACTTCTGAACTATTTCCAGACTAATCTCTCCAGATGCGTTACGTCTCTTTTTTGATTGTTCACGTTTCTCTTTCTTTTTAAAAGTACCCAAGAATTAGTCTTGTGAACTTCAGAAATTAAATTCAATTTGAGAAAAATGTAAAAGCTTCAGACATTTAAGACTTTGAATTCTGACTTCTGACTGTTCTTTGAGGTAGGCAGAGCTTGAGCCCTGGGAAAATATTTTGTTTGATAAGTCACAGTAGTTGGTGCTTCGACTGAGGATATTTTTCAATATTACAGTAAGTCTTTAAAAAAGACACACATGAGATTTAAAATTCTGTATCTAGCCATTTCCTAGGAGATAAACTTTAAATGTTTACTGTTCCAGTTCTATGCATTGTGGACAGAATAACTTGTAATTCGGCTTGAAAACTACACGCTAATGCCATCTGTCAATGTGATACTTGATCCTTTATGGACACTTGATGAAAGGATTTTGGCAGCCTCTAGGAAGGAAGTAGCAATCCAATAGTGAAAAGTTTGCGTCACTGCTTTATTACTTACAATGTCAGCAAAGACTCCTGGCCTCATCAAATTGATCATCTTGGCTACCTGGTAAACATCCATGGAATTTTCTTTTTCTAGTTGGTGCATAAGGGTTGTCAGAGCACAGAAAGTTCCTGCGGTCACTCCTCCATGCCTTGAAGCAAAGGGAAGAGGCAAAGATTCCATTCAGAGGCATCAGACTTTCCCATTTTGAGTTCACAGGACATGTGCCATGGAAAACTTTACAGGAAGAACCTTGCAATTTTTAATGAATTGCCTTTCTTTACTCGGCACAGAACTATGGTTTAACTTGAAAACATTGGCAAGTGTTTATGATATTAGCAACGTGACACTTTATAGAAGATTCGTATTTGCTTATTCATTTGTTATTTTTATACTATGGAAGGAACTTTTTTTATTTGCTCATACATAAACCTGGAAAGATCTGGGATGAAGATTCCTGTGTCTGGTAAATAAAAATATAAATCACTTTTACTCCTATCCCAAGAAGTTAATGGCTGAACAATGTCTCTCTGATTAGCATCTGTAAAAATTCAAGTGCTAACACTGAGTCATCACACAAAGTGTTCTCAGCATAGAATGTCAGAGCATATTCTTGTGATCATGTACCCATCTCTAGCCTTCAACAGGAGCTCCAAGAGAAATAAAAAATCCTCTGTGTTAACCTTGGCCGTAAGAAGCAGATAATCCACCCCTGCTCAATCACCACAATTAGTCCAAAGTTTGGTTGGTACAAAGACAATAGAAATATACACACACCCAGAGAATGCTAAGGCACGGAACAATTTTAAGTGTGGAACTTACTCATCATGAATGATCATGGGCCCGTCCCTGCTGGCAGCTTCTTCTTTGATAATACTTGTAAGTTCAAAAGTTTTACTAATGGGGCTATCTGGGTTTGGCCATTTGGGACACTGAAAATGTCTCACTTCAAGTACATAATCATCCTATAAGAAGAAAGAAAAATGAAGGTTTTTAAAAGAATTAGATTGTTAGTGGGTAGAATAATTGAGGAAGATCAGGGATTAAAACCAAGTGCCATGCATGAGTGAGCAGCAGTGGTGGCAGCTTGTCCTCTGTCACAGAAGGAAAAAATTGCTGTGATACCACATTCATCATTTATAGGCATATCCCTTTTGTATTTTAATAATCAACCTAATTTCTGGGATTATCATGCCAATCAGACCATGAAAGTATGTACCAAAGGTGTCTCTGTGCTAATCCATGTAAACTTATAAAAAATAAATCTTCAGGGTTAAAACTTATTTTAAACATAGCACAGACTTCTTCAAATACCAGCATTCCTTAGGTTCACTTAAGGAAAGAATGAGTCTGCATGACATGCACAGTGGTGGGATGCTGGCTGCACTCCAGGCCCGGCTCTGATTCTTGCATAAGTGACCAGCCAGCCTATGACCTTAAATCACTTAAACCTCTGACCCCAAGGTCCTAAAGTGTACTCCATAAAATGCTACATTTAAAAATAAGCCGCAGAACCTAAATTTTATGTGGAAATGTCAAAGTCCAAAAGAGCCAAGATGCTACTGAAAAAGAAAAACAGTAGAGGGGATTATCTCATTGGATATCGAGAATTCTGATAATTTGTAACAATTAATAAGACCCTATAGTTTTGGCAGAGGGATGAACAAAGAGAGAAATGTCATGAAACAGAGATCCCAGAAAGAAGTCCATGTGTATACCATAGAAGTCTGCTTGATGACCGAACTGGTATTGCTGATCAGTGAATGATGCTGGGACATGCCTCTCATTTTACAAATAAGGAATGTGAGTCACTCCCCCAAGGCCATATTGCTCACCAGTGGGATCAGAATCAACATGTTCGTTTTCTTGGTTTAATCAAGTAGATACTGTTCCATTGCAATGTTTACATTAGTAATCTACTAGCATTATCCAATTTATATGCTTTGTCATTCAAATATTCTGCAGAATAGTGAATCTTCTTATACACCATATATGGCTAATCTTTTTCTGATTGAGACGATAGTCTGAAATCTCACATGCCTTACTCATCATTCCTTGTGTCTTTTTTTTTTTTTTAAGATTTTTATTGGGGAATTGGGGGATGGGAACAGCGCTGGGGAATTGGGGGAAGGAGAACAGACAAGTTGCTGTCGTTTTGTTCTTCAGTCTAGTTGTGGAGGACGTTGCTTCACTGGCTCAAGTTGGCACCATCATTGCGCTCTTCCTGGGCGAGGCAGATGAGTCGCTGGCTTCTGGAGGGCCGCTCATGGTGGCTGCTGGCTGCTCACGCTGGCTGCTGGCTACATACGGTAACCCATGGCAACCCACTGCAGCAGGGGCTGCAGCCTATGCTGTCGCCGGCAATGCATGGCAGCCCAGCTCCAGGTTGAGCTGTTGTTCAGCATCTTAGCTGTGGAGGGCAGTGTCACTGGCTCTTATATGTGGGATCCGAACCGGGGCCCTCTGGCGTCCCAAACCAGTTCTTAACCATCGCGCCACTCGGCCGGCCCACCTTGTATCTTTTAATATTTTAGTGTAGCTATATAATAAATGCACTGTACTGTATGTATTATGTAAGTACTATTGAAAAATAATTTAGATTGATGCTTTGTAGATAACCAAGGTTTAGGAAAACAATTCTAGTTCATTGTACTGCACATTTTCAGAGCACTGCTTCACTTACCAACTCATTGTACTTTGCTAGAGGGAAATGAGTTAGTTTAGTAGGTAATATATTTTCCATTTTACTCAGGAGAATCCAAGGTAAGCACTTGCCTTAACACATCAGAATTAAGAATTTTTTATGAATTTTTTTCAGTGTTTATTTTCAACTTAAGCTCTGTCAGCAACTGTTTTGAGGTAAAAGAGAAATCTTTGATTTCCTATATGTGTAGAAGTCATGAACTATATAGTTTAGTGATGACTAATGGTTTAATGATTCCATAAGATTTTTTACGTGAAAGCGACAAGTAAAGTAAAATTTATTATTTGGATAATCTGTCTCAATTTGTAAGAAATCAGTTTCCTTCTTTTTATTGTTAGAAAAGATCCTTAAATGAGCATATACTTAACATGTACTTAAGATGAAAAGTTTGTCATTTAAATTATATCCATACCTGTGTAGCTTCTAAGATAAAATCTTGAATTAAAATTTTTTCTTCATTAGACAGACATTTGTGTTCTTCAGCCATAAGTGTGACCTTAAAGCTTTCACAATTTATAGGCTCATTTTTATTTGGCCAATAAACAAATTCATCTTCTGCCTGGAGGATTAAAAACCAAAGAAAATTCTACATTTTAATAAAATGTCTAATAAGTCAGACTGTGAAATGAAGTTAACTGCTTGCCATAGAAAATTCTACTCAAATTTTTCTTTGAATCTCAAAATTTAGTCTTAAAATCTTGTGTCTTAAACCCGATCGATCTACAAAATAAAACTTAAGAACCCAAATTATTGCTTTGTTATTTTGCTTTCCTAGCTTATTAGTAACAAAGACTAGTTGTTGGTTCTATAATTGATAACTCAGTAGAGAAACATCAAGTGATTTTATGAGCTCAGCAATTTCCAGCATCATTTGGAATGGTCAGTATAACTTTATGGACAAGAAATGAATCTCAAAGTATATATGCAAAGCCTAAATGAAATATTAATTTGGTTTTATTTTGGAGGTTCTCCAAATACACACGAAAAGGCACACAGGGTAGCTATGATTTTCTAATACTAAAAAAAGCCCTTCCTATACTAGGAGTTCACTTTATTCCAAATCGGTCTTTTATGGATCTTCTTAAACCGAGGGAATTTCCAAATAACAAGTTTTACTAAAAAAAAAAAAAAAATCAGAGCCGGCCAAGTGGCTCAGTTGGTTAAAAGCTCGCTCAAGAGTGCAAGCTCTGAGCAACAGCGGTTCGAGTCCTTGCCTGAGCTGAGCTGCCGCTAAGCTGCCAACAGGTGGCAGGATGGCTCAGCTAAAAAAAAAAAAAATCATATGGACTGATTTCATTCATGATTGTGATTTTCATTTTCTTAGGCAATGCTACAAACTACTTAAATTTAAATTAATTTTAACCTACCCCTTGTTTAAAATGGTCGTTCAAGAATTTCAGACTTGGAAGATTGCATAACCAAACCAGGCCCAATAGCAGACAAGGTGCAACTCCAATGACATTAGTTGATGAGTTGGAAAACATTACTTCATTTGTTTGTATCTGAACATCTGGCTGTTGTGACCTGATATTTCCCCCCTAAGGAAAGTACTAAAAGTGACCTGAGGGACGTACCATGTTTTGACCATCGGGAAGCATAACCACCAGCTGGGCGTTATGGTCCCATATCATCCTCCAGAAATCCTTGATGGTGTGGAGAAGGGGGTGCTGGGTGATGATGAATTCATTGCTCTGATAATAACCCTGCATAGTGAAAGAGAAGATAGACAGAACCCTGACATAGGACTTTAAACATTCAGAAAACATAAGTTATGGCAGTCTTGTTTATTTTCAGATTGTGTTTATAAATAATAATGTTATTAGTCTAGTCAATGTTTAGGGGGCGCTTCCTATATGCCAGGTATGGCACTAAACATGTTCTTCCCTTAAGTCATTTATTCCTCACAGCAGTGCTATGAGATAGAAAATGTGATCCCCATTTTCCAGGTGATGAAATGGAGGCTTAAGAAGTTCAGTGTTATGCCCATGTTTACCCAGCTGGCAGCTCCAGGAGCAGACTCATCAGAAAGACTTGTGAACCATGTCTCCTCCACTAGATAGGGTGGAAATCTGGGGAGGTATTTATATTTCTCATTTTCCACAAGTCCCAATGGCAGAGTACCAAATTTCACCCCTCTGGCAAGAGAATACCTTCGGGGTCCAGACACCCCCTCTTTGATGGGTGAGTGTATGTTTCGTATCTCCTCATCGGTCCAGAATGGTGTTTGGTTCCTGCACCTACTCAGGCCTTGCCTGAGGTTTCTCCAGCCCCAGCACACATGAAAACATCAAGGAATGCTGTAATCTCTTGCTACGGTGGGCTGTGGGTCTGCAGTTATGGGTCTGGCTTATGTCCACCATGGGGCTGGCCATGTTTGCAGCCATTCTGAATCTATGCTCTGTTGTTGGTTCTGGTAACACACGCTGGCAGCAGTGACTTCTCTGACTTACCATGATGTAGGAGGCATTGATGTAGTCTGTGCCTTCCCCACTCAGGGACGAAATGCCAACCCTGGATCTCTCCACTGGAAAACAGGACACTTGAGATAAACCATGCTCTCAGTGCTATACCGCCCCTGTCCACTCCCAAATTGCGACACATAGCTGCATTTCTCAAGCTGTGTATCTTTAACCTTTAAGCTAAATTTTCTACATATTTTTAGACGAGACTTCAGGGTTTGAAAGTCCTATTTCCCAGTTACATTATCAGGCATACATAGAAAAAGATGAATGTATTGCTTCTGTCCTAAAATGTACAAATGTTGGCAAATTACTTTCAAGGCTTCTATTATAAAAGAAACAAGAGTTCTCTCTCTTTTTTTTTTTTTTAAGATTCAACATAACCTACCAGGGATGATGGAAGAGGTTCTGTTCTTTTCCCTGTTGCATTGCTTTAGGGCCGTGGAATAGTCACTCTGCTGTATATTTGATTGACTCAGGAGCTGAGAAACAGTCAAGGAAAAATACAGATTATTTCATTGAAGTCACTCAAATACACACACACACACACACACACACACACACACACACACACGCGCGCTTCTATATACACACAGCCAAACCAAGATAAGACACTGAATGCAAATATGTCTGACTTGTTTTCCAAGAAGTTCTTGAACTAAACCTTGTTTTAGGGAACTCCCTGGCACATCTGTGTTTTACACCAGGAAAGTTGGAAGAAGGGGAGACTTGCTCTGTAGTTTGACTTCCAGCATGGGGTAAATCTTCCTTATGGCTTCTTCTATGGGTGTGCACCCTCTATTTCTTCTACGTAAATGTCACACTGCAGTGGGGAAGTAAACTGCATGGTGTGTGTGTGTGTGTGTGTGTGTGTGTGTGTGTGTGTGTGTGGTGTGTATGTGTGAGTGTGTGTGTATGCATATGCATATAGTTGGATTTTATTCATTCTCTTAGTATTCCATCACATGAATAATCTACTTGCTATTTATCTATTCCCCAATTAGTGAATGTTCAGGTTATTTCCAATGTTTTGGTATGTCAAACTTTATAACAATAAATATCACTTCTATATTTCTGAATGTGCACACATATGGGGACTTCTATAGCGAATTAGGAGTCATCATTGTTTAATCTTTGATAGTCTGATAGATGAAAAATGCTATCATGGTTTTGATTTGAATTTCCTTAATTATTGTGAGATGGGAATTTTAGTGTTAATTAGCCATTTAGATTTCTTCTTTGATGACTGCCTTTTTAATTTCTACTTCATTGCCATTTATTAATTTGTAGGGGGTTTTGATGGCTTGAATATAAATCTATAATCTATTTAAAAAGCTGCAAATGTTTTGTTGTCTTTAATCACACAGACATTTACACCAATTTATTAAGATTTTCCTTAAGATTTTTGTTTATTATGTTTTTATTTAAAAAGTCCTTGTCTACCCTGAAGTTCTTGAAAGATACTTTCCTATAAGGAACAAAACTTTTCTTTAGCCTTGAGGTACTTAATCCACCTTGAATAATTTTGGTGTTTGAGGTGTGGTAGAGACCTAATTTTACTTGTTTCCACATAGAAATTGTCCCAGTATCACTTATTGATTAGTTCATCCTTTCACTGCTAATTTGTAATGTCATATCTATCACATAAAAATTTCCACATGTGCATGCTTCCTCTGGCTGATTTGTCTGTTTTAAACATTAATTATTGTATCTGCATAATAAGTCTTCCATATACAGTACAACAAGTTTCCCTTCCTTATTCCTTATTCTTCAGTATTGCTTTGGATGTTTTTGGCTCTTGGATTTTCTATATTAATTTTAAAATCAGTATCAAACACAAAAGCCTGGCCTCTGATAGGTGCCTGGTAAATATTGGTTGAATAAATAGGCATGCAATTTATTTGAAAGAAATTTTTTTATGAATGAACTTGAATAAATACCTTTTCTTATATAATAGTGTACACACACACACCCGCACACTCACGCACACTCTCCTCCCTGCATTTCCCTAGTTGTGATGTTAACAGGAAAGTGAGACATCTCTCTTTTTACTTGGATCTAATAATTGATAGTTCCATTTTAATTTTGTATTATCCAGCATATGCCATATCAATTCTCTTAAGTAATGGTGTAGGGGGTAAATCATATTTAAATGAGACTTTTGTTGAAAATAAGTAATACAAATACGTATTTTTAATTTAGGGAAAAGTTATCCTAATAACCTAATGTTAATATTTTATATTTCTTTACTATCTGTTTCTGGAAGCCGAGCCATGCACCTTTTCTTTCCTTAAATCGCTCCTTTAGGAGTCAGATAAGCCTGGCTGAGTAAAACATTTGTGTTTTCCTGACAGCAGGCTCTAAGTTCAGCATTCATTCATCATCTTTTGCTTACTCCCCCCAAAGCACAAAAGGTGATGACTGAGAAAGCAAAACATCAGAGTGAATTCACAGTGGTAACATCTATGTTGTAGGCTGGGGGAGAAGAGAGAAAATGCTGAAAGGTTTGTTGACTCTCCTGGGTTTTTCAAATTCTTCCTAGATATTCCTTCTCAGAAATTGGCCCTGTTTCTCTAGGAATCCTGGGACATTAGCGGTTAGTAGAGACATAATGTGGAGCAAAGTAATGTAGCCTCCATTGCTCTGGAAAGCCCCGACTCTGCCAATGCCCCTCCCCCAGCTGGCACGACTGCTAGCATCTGCTCTCTGAGTCTTCGCGGACTGAGTTTTGTAAGTCAGAGAGCTAGGGATGCAGGAGGAACAATATTGAACAAAACATGCTCTCCTCTCCAGTGCACTGCCTTGTGACAGGGCGAGTGGGAGAAACTGGGGTTGAAGCAGCTATTGTTGTGGGGTGGCCTATTCTAGTTCAGGGGCTTCAAGTGAGGGAAATTTTTTCCAAAGAGTAGCATGAACAGCCTGAGCCATAGCACTCGTGGTTGAGTGGTCTGGGTTTTTCAAAGTAAAAAGAGCACTTATACAGTCTGTATTGTAAGCTCTGTCTGTTCATTCTGTTGGGCTCCGTGCCCTTCTTTCCTGGACCGAGCCTGCATTTATAAAAGTTTAGTCTAGGGTTTCTGAGAACTTTCCTCCTTGCCACTCACAATTAAGGTTCTCCTTGAAATGTACCATGTGGCTTCGTTGCCTGTTGTTAAGAATAGAAGCCGCTGTGCTAACAGGGCTCTCCACCCATCTGCGTGGCCTTGTCGACTCCAATGAGACGACGCAGGAACATTCAGTTCTGGTGACACCCAAGAGGCTTCGACAAGGACTCACCTTGAATTGCTTCTCTAGCTTTGTTTTGCCTGTTGGTCCAGGAATGAGAAGTGCATTGACATAGGCGTGGATATGGCTGTCTGTCACCTCGGTTTCTTTACTAAGTATGGCCTCAACCAGGGCATCATGAATGAAGACATACTGTTCCTGGCAAAACAACAACAATGTGGAATATTACATCAGGTTTTTCTTATACGTGTCCAGGTATAAAAGAAGCATCTTCCATTGACAGACAAAAAGAGTTTTACAAAGTATAGGGAGAAACCCATAAAAGGTTGCTTATCAGGCTTGGCAGGAGATCAGGTGGCGGAAAGGCGGCAATTAAGACAGAACACAGCTCCTCTCAGCTCTTTTTTCCTGCAGGTTGACCTTGGTGGGAAGGAGGCACGGAGATTTGGGGAGACAAATCAACGCCTTCTCTGCCCATCTTTCAAACCTGAGACCCACTTCCACATTTGGCACGAGGGTTTCCATGACTCCTACACCTCTAACGGGTCTTCCCCTCTGTCCATTCTAAATCTCCTTTTAGCCAGTCATATATAGTTTAGCACAATTATCTATACAGTTTTTAAAAGTGATCTTCTCTTTAATGTATGGGACTCTTGTCTGGTCTTATCTGTCTAGAAAGGCATTTCCTTCATGGCATAGAGTTTGTTTTGCCTTGGTTTTAAAGCCAGTCATTTGTTTCAACTGCTTTCAAGCTTCCATCCATACGTTTCAATTTAAATTCATTATTTAGGCATAGTGAAAACAAATACAGATGTGCAGACTTTGTCTTGTGTCATAGATGAGTAAAGGATATGGGCCTAAAATGAAATATAATTTGAGCATAATTCATACTCTTCAAATATGAAAATGAATTCATTGACTCTCTATGTGCAGAAAAAACTTGAGGATTTTGCTAGCAGCAATGGGCATCGATTGATCCATTTACTCAATTTTCTGAATCTTCTCTGTCACCATTGTTATTTTAAACATATTCCTCATTTGTTCACAAAATAAACAAAATTTAGCTGGACCCTCTATAAGTTATATGCAATTACCTGGTATTATGGTTTGAATGGTTCCCCCCCCCCAAAGATATGTTGAAACCCTAACCCCACCGACCTTAAAATGTGGCCTTTTGTGTAAATAGGGTCATTGCAGATGTAATGAGTTAGAATGAGGTAGTGACTAGTGTCCTCATAAGAAGAGGAAAATCTGGACACAGGTAGACACAGAAAGCAGACAGCCATTTGAAGATGGAGGCAGAGATCGAAATTATGCTGCTACACTCAGGGAGCTCATGGGGCTACCAGAGACTTGAAGAGACAATAAAGGATCCTTCCCTGGTGGTTTCAGAGGGAGCAGAGCCCTGTCAACACCTTGATTTGGGGCTTCTATCCTCCAGAATGATGAGACAATAGATTTCTGTTGATTTAAACCACCCAGGTTGTAGTAATTTATTACAGCAGCCCTACCTGGTAATACAAAATTTGGTCTAACCAGCTTCAGCATCTTAGTGACATTTCCAACCCTCTGATAAATCAGATTATCCATTTTCTCATACCTCAGTTTGTACCAAATAATTTCTTTGTGAACGAATGTGCTTTAAGAAGCCAAATATGTTGACAGTTCCTTCATGTTGAATTTGCTGCAACATACTGTCAAGCACAATATATGTGCCCGTTCTTCCAACTCCAGCACTAAAGAGAACACAAGGAAGAAACCATTTCAGTGTCAAGTATAAAATAAACCTGAATATAGGTCACTACTAACTGTCTTGTAAATTAAAATAATTTCCTTCCCCATGCAAAAAAGACACATAATAAATAATTAGTGACCCAAAACTGTAAGTAGTGCCGTTGTTAAGCATAATGCTTCCAGTAACAAAAAGTTTCTTTCTTTTATTTTTTGCTACAGGTCAAACTGCAAAACAAGCCGACTCTTTTGGTTGGAGATTTTTTAATTGTTAATAATTATATTTATTATTCATTTTATATCATACAATGAAAATATCATAATGCATCAGAGCACAGCAAATAGGCATTTAGTGTGAGAAAAATAAAAGCGTCAGCTTCACCCAGCTCTGCAAAGAAAAGGTCCCTGGGTCTGTTTGCCAGGTAGACATGTTTGTAAAGGTTTCCACATTAATGGGAAAAAGAATTTGATAAGACTTGCAGCTAAAAATATCATTTCAGTGAGATTGTGAGGAATAAAGCATAACTGCAGTGATTTCTAAAGGGCCATTATCTATCGACTTCTTCAAAGACTCTACTGGAGGGATAGAATTCATAGACAGAGATTCTTTTCAGACCCTCCGCCAAGTGGAAAGTGCTAGAGTGAGAAATTAGCACCTGCTCCGCACAATACCCAGGTCCTTCTCCATTTGCTGAGAAACAATTCCTGACCTTCAGAGCTATTTTCCTTGCTTCTTCCTGTTTCCCTCAGCTTGACTTCAGGCTAACAGATAAAAAAAGAACTCTAGATAGGTCTCTCCAATTTTGAGGATAACTCCTAAGATAGGTGATTAGAATATGTCGGATAAGCTGTCTATCAAAGGTACATATTTGCTTCTCTAGAAACACAGATACTGCTTTGACCAAATTCCGCACGTAGACCTTGAACTTGATTTTTGTGGTCATACAGCTTGGCATAGAGTCAGCACTCAGTCAATGGTAACTGCTTTCATTTTAGCTGAAAAATATTAAATTAAACCTCTAACATACCATTTCTTCTTTCTTTGCTATATCATTCTTTCTTATTATCAGCCCAGTCTTGGGAATTAAAACATTGATCCATGATGAATTGATAACACATTCAATATGATATATTAGAAAGAACTCAGGAATATGATAAAGGGGTTTTGACCTCACGCTATCTCAAAACAACTTAAAAGGACTTTGTCAAATTCTTACACTCTGTGTGCTTTGGTTTCTCTCACATAAACCTGGCACAATGATTCTACAACAGACTGTTCAGTTCTAAGAACAAGAGTTGTACTCAAGCATCTTTATCCCACAGCATTCTGTTGTAATAAATGTTAGTTCCGTGACAAAACATTGTTCTACCTGCCCCACATAGTTAATAAGTTGACATTCAATTCAACAATCAAGTAAGATAATAAATATCACAGAAGTACATGGTGCTTTGGATATTCAGCCATCAAATACTGAGTCTAGCACACTCATTTCCTAGTGATGGATCTTTTTGAAAATGGGCATGTAATTTCAACCCCCTCATGAAACCACTCCACGAAATCATTCCTGTTTTGGTAAAACCTTTTTTCCACTGGTTCCCCATTTTAGGAGCATAAGCAATTCCATGGGTTTAGAAACCCAGCTCTGAGACTCACCTGCAGTGGACAACCACAGGCCCCACGGCGTGGCGCTTGGCATGGGATGCCTTTCTCACAAAGGTCAGCACAGGCAGTGAGTACTCCGGCACACCCATGTCAGGCCACTGCGTGTAGTGGTACTGTGTGATCACGCGCCCACTGGGTCTGCCTTTCTGGGAACCCTGGAAAAGACCAGATAGCTAATAACAGGAATACATACAAACACACACGGGGTTCTGAAACATCAACTCGGCATTCATAGCTTGATGTTGGTAGTCCAGAAAGACGCAACAGAAAAAAAAAATACATTGCCATTTGTGAGGGTTCATTTTATGTGTCAACTTGGCTAGGCTATGGTGGTTTGTGGTTTGGTCAAACACCAGTCTACCAGATGTTGCTGTCAAGATATTTACTAGATGTGATTGTCATTTCAACCAGTCGGCCTTGCATCAAGCAGATTATGCTCCATCATGTGAGTGGGCCTCATCCAATTCATGGAAGGCCTTAAGAACAAAGACTGAGGATTCCTGAATAAAAGGGCTTCTCCTCAAGACTGAAAAATAGAAACCCTGCCTGAATTTCCAGCCAGCTGCCCTAATGAGTTTGGACATAAGACATTAACTCTTACTTGCATACCCAGATTTCTGACTTGCAGGGTCCATAATCGCTTGTGCAATTCCTTAAAATCAATAACAGTTCTACCTATCTATCTATCTATCTATCTATCTATCTATCTATCTATCTATCTATCTATCTATCTTACATACATTAATACATATATATGTATACATACATACATACATACATATATCCTATTAGTTTTGTTTCTCTGGAGAACACTGATTAAATACATCAAGGTTCTGTTTTTTTGTTTTCTTTTCCCCTTTCTTTATGTCAGTTTCCACTCTTTTTTAGTTGGATGTGCAGTTATCACATGCAGAGATTTTCATTTGTGTATCACATCCATTGCAACCATGTACCATGACCAATCTAATTCCAAAGCAACGACTGACATTGAAATTTAAAGACTAGGAAGAAACCTTTGGGATTGAGATGTGGCTGTGATTAAGGACTCCTAATGCCTTTAATTGTGTGGGTTTTTTTTTTAAACCCTGTCTTGGTTATAGCACCTGCTTACTTGAAAACAAAACAAAACAAAACAAAAAAAAACAAAACAAAACCAGATGTGTTACTCAATTGGTGATGTCCATCACTGGTTAGCTCACCTTCTTTATCTTTGTGTTCCTTAAAGTAAAATTCCTCACAGTGTAATAGGCCAGCGTGTGAACACTCTTCTGAGTGACCAGGAAGTTCCCATACTCTTCACTGCCATCGGCAGGCCAGTACTGGTCACATTTTCTCTGCAAAAGAGAAAGACGCCATTTCATTATTCTGAATGAGCGATGGAAGAGTTGTTGCTGACACCTGTAAAGGTCTGAGACTGTGACAGGAATGGACTGTCATTCTTCTAGACATTCCGTTCCTTTCTAAGTGACTGCAGATTAGCTGTAGAGGAGACCAGGGACAGAATCATAGAGCTGAAGGGGATTTGACATGATCTGGTTCAAACTTCCCCCTTTCAGATGAGGAAACTGCGGCCCGATGGATTGAGTCAGCATGGGAACACAGCTCTTCGAATTAAAATCTACTTCACTCTACAGAGTTCCTCAATGAGCCCCATTTACTTTTTCTCACAGTATGAAGAATGCATTTAAACAGCAGACGGCTTGATTTACAAGGAAGCTTTGTGACCTGTAATGTTAACAGTTGTCCTTAGCCATCATCTTCACTAGAAAGGAATCCTGATTAGCTCTCATAACTTTTGCTGCTTCCGAATGCTGACTCTATTAAAAGCAGTTTAAAGCACCTCTAATCATCACTATTGGGAGGATGACATACCCGCCCTTTCTCCACGAGGTTTGTTATCATGACGATTACTTCCACGTTATGCTCCCATATCATTCTCCAGAAATCTTCGGCTGTGGATTTCAGTGGGCCTTGGGCGGCAATGTAAGCTTTTGGCCTGTTGTAACCCTGAAGAAATAAAGGACAAACATGTCTTCCTCACTGATCTGTCTGCCATTTTTAACCATATAAGGCTTAAGTTTTTAAGGTCAGTACCTTTTTTGTTTTTTCTATAGGAGGAAAGCATAAAAATAAACTTGCAAAGCTGCAGAAACTTGACAGTACTAACAAACACAACAACTCTTCTTTATCTTTTTTTGTGGAACAAAAAGAGTCATCTTTGTTTGATACCACCACAATTTTCTGCCCCTCTAGTTCAAGTGCATTTACGAAATCTATGCACCATGCTTACTATCTGGTCGTTCCTTGTGCTGCTCTGAAATGTGTTTCAGGCATTGGGGCCCCGCGGTCTCCATCAGTTAGGAAACCTCTGGTGTTGTCTCCTGAGCCTCTCTTTGCTGGAGCTGAGCAATGCTAACCATTAATAGCTATCCTTCACTGAGCACCCAGTGTTGGCCAAGATGCTTTATAAGTCTTAACCCTAATCCTTAATCTATATGCACAATGAAAGCATCATCCCTGATTTGGAGATGAAGAAACTGAAGCTGAGAGGCGTTAAGTGGCTTTTCAAGCTCCCATAGCCAGCCAGTGGCAGAGCTGGGGTTCAAAATCAGTTCTGACTCCAGGGCCCCTGTTGGAGAGGACAGAAACATTGCCTGCTCTGGAAGCATGAAGCAGATGCCTTTAGCAAACCCACTGTATTCTGATATTTGGATGTAAGTTCTTTGAACTCCATGTTCCACACAGCACAAGCCATAAGTCAGCTAGGGTGAGGTCAGTGTCAGGAAGATGACTGAGTACTCCGACATGCGGTTGACCACAGTGAAAAACCAGTAAGTTAGTCAGTGGTCTGCAGCCCCTGGGGAGCCCCAATTAGTTCCAGAAAGCTGGGTTCCTGAGGGATGGCCAGAATTATAAAGGCTGATAACTGGTTTAGTAATCACTTTTAGGCGGTACCACCTTGGGTATTCTTCAGTCAGGATGTACTGATCAGCTGCTATCTACACAACATGGTGCTAGGAGTTCTGGGACATTCAAAATAAGCACAGGTCCTGGCCTTCACATTTAAGGAGTTTAAACCCATCTGAATATACATATTCTACCTTGAACATACAATCCCAATGTGAATCCCTTTCTCATGCAGAAGATATACCAAATACAATAGCTTGACTGTTATTCAACCTGAAATCCTTTAATCATGGGATCGCTCACTGCTGATGTGTTTTTCATTAACTATCATACAACATGAATTAAGTACTAGTATATGTACAGCACAGTGGTATAAGCAATTCATAGCCTCATATAATTTCCATAAACATTTCCATTAAAACATGCTTACGTCAACATAATTGGCATTGATGTAATCAGTCAGTTTGCCATCTTTTTCAGCAAGTTGTGCAAGCTTAACCCTACTATGATCATCTGTAATAAAAAAAGAAAATATTTCATTAGCGTACAGGCTACTTTTCAGCATAAATATAATTTATTTAGTAATGTTTTTTAAATTAAAAAAATAAAACTAAATTTACATCGTAATTTATCAAGTACAACTAAAATCAATGTAAATATAATTTACTTTAGTAGGTTTTTTGGGGATACAGAGATGACAAAGATAAAGATTAAAAAAAAGCAAGAGCTTCTGCCTTCGAGAAGTTTTCTGGTAGAAGGTGAGAATAGATATACACACAGATAGGAATATTCAGGAGTCAAGAGAGAGGTGCAAAGTAGTAGGGGAACAGAAGGAAGAAGTATCAGCTTGGGATGATGCTAAATGTTTTCATACTGAAACCTGGACTTGGCATCTTAGATGGGTTCCTAAGGTGGGTGCTGGGGCTGGGAACAGTGGAGAGCTACTGAGGAGAAGAAGGGACTGATGGGGTCTCAGAAAGCAAAGGAAGGATGGCATCACTATGCTTGGAAGAGGGGGCTGAAGGAGGAAGAGAAAGTAGGAAAGAAAGCAGAAGGGACGAGAAAACTTCTGTGAATGGTTACAGCAGATGGCTCTTTCAAAGGAAGAACCTCAAAGAGGAGCTACCAAAAAGGGCGACAGGAGAACGGCTATCCAAGATCAGAGGACGTGCGTCCTGCACCATCTGTAAACAGAGGATGAGAACTACGGTAATGTACACACTGGGTAGTGTCGCAATTTAAACAAGAAGAAAGGAGGGGTTGGGGATGGACTTCAGTTCTACAGAGAAACTATTTACTGGGAGGAACTACATAATAAGAAAGCAAAGTGTTCTGAGGAGGAAACCTGGTAGTTTCACAGGGCAGATTATTTATTCTTTTCAAGGATGAGGAAATGAATACAACCCAAACCATGACAAGTTAAAGAGGTATTCTGGGATAGTAAGGCCCCCGTGACAACAGCGGCTCACAAAGGGGCAGAAATAGATGTGTGGCAATGGAATGATGGATTTGGTTGGGGCAGGCTGACATGCTTTTGTACTGTGGTTCTAATATATTTTGAAGGATGTTTTTGGGTAAATGTTCTGCGTTGTTTTTCTTCATTTCTACTACAGGACAGTTATTGCCTATCTTGCCAGGTTGTTTTGGGGATTAAACAAAATAATGTCTTTACAGTGCCAGGCACACAGTAGGTGTTCAACAAACGTTAATCTCCATCCTCTTCTTAGTTACCTGGTGGGTATTTTATTTAACTTGTAGAGGGAATATCTTAACAACAACTTCCCCCAGTCCAAGAAGCAGCTGAGCTTTTTTATGTGCGGCTGGGATAGTGGCTTCCATTGGGGGAGACAAATGCGAAGTGGAATGGGTCTACTAAAAAAATAAAAATTGGTGTAAGCCCCCTGGAAAGGAGGGCAGCACCTGTGAAACTATTTAGAAAAATGTGATAATAAAAGGAAGGAGAGTGCAGCTTCAATGGCTTCCAGGAACTAGAGTGCAACCATAATTTCAATAAGCAAGCTGGTAATACTGCGTTCATATGCATCTAGGGACGCTCACTGAATATATAAGAAAGGATATACATAGAAGTTTCTGGAAGGGGGAGTGAAGATGGATTTCAAGAGATGGAGGGGAGGGAATATAAAGGAAAATAGAAGAGATGTAAACAAGAGGTACTGTATACAAATGTTGAATTGTTAAGTTGTACACCTGAAACTAACAGAATGTTGTATGTCAATGATGCTTCAATTAAAAAAAGAAGGCAGAAAGATGGTAATTTCATACGAAAAAACAGGTAAGCCTGCACTAAAGAAAAGAGCCAGATAGCTACTCATTGAGAAGAAAAAGAGAGAGAGCGGCTAAGAAAATAAAGGGAAAGAAGGACTCCCAACTAATCCTTTATCAGACCCCAGGAAGGATGGCAAGAGAGGGAGGAAAGGGAAAGAAGGAAAAGTTAAAGTCTAAAGAAAATGCCACTTGGTGAATAAACTCACATCAAAGTACGTAGACCTAAAGTGCCAACGGGACCATGGAATGTAAATAATGATAGAAACCATAAGAACAGATTTACAGTCATGGGACCTGAAGAAAGGACTGGATTAAAATTGGAGTTTGTTTTAATTTAAAAGTAACAGATGTCATGAATTGCAGAATGCATTTAAATTGGAGTGACAGAATGCTATGTATTGCCTAACACAAGTCTTGTTCCCTGAGACAAAGGTTCTGAAACAGCTACACTGAGGTCTGCTCTCAGAAGACTTCTGGATATTGTTCAACAGCCCGGCCATGACAATGATACCAAAGTCAGAGCCGCGCTAAGGATGTACTTACAGGCGACAATGTTTATGTACCGGTTCTTGTGCTTGTTGTCTGGGTGATTGGAGCTGTCTGCTGTAATGCCTAAATCAACAGTACAGCTCTGCACCTCCTGGAAAGAAATTGTACGTATAACATTTTTAACACATATTCTGTTAAACAATGTGCCTTAAAATATCATGAAGACAAGACAAAACAAAATAGTCTATCAAAAAAAATATATATATATATACATATGTTTTTTACGTTACAACTATTTCTTGGCTAAAAGAAAATGCAGTGAAATAATGCCTTACCTGGTAAAACTCTTTCAGTGTCTAATGAGGGAATGAATGCCAAAAAAGTAAAGAAATCAAATTCCACAGCACACGACAAATGAGAAAAAAAAGTGTTCATATTAGGTTTACAATGGAAAACCATGATCATGCAATAAATACATTTGTCAAATAGTCACAAAACAGAATGTTTCAAACAGTTGCATGCAAATCAAAATTTCTAACAATTTGGAACTCTCAAATTATGTAAAAGGAAAAAAGCGACATTTTAAAAGAGGGACAGTGGTATAATAATATGATGGATTTAAAAAAAACGCAGATGAGAAACACCATATATTTGATGACACATTTTGTCCTATTAGTCAGATTTGCTAATCTCCAAATACAATGCTATTTGACCATATGGCACTATTTGAAACTCTTAATTAGTGATACATTTTTTTTTTGTTTATTTTGAGTCATTTAAAAAAATAAACAGCTTCCTATCAGGTGGTTTGTAACAGATTTAGAGCTGTCAAAATATTAAAAATCTTCACAAACGCTTTTTCTAGGTCATTTTGAAATAAAAATTTACATAGCATTACTTTCTACATATTTAATTAGTAGACCTCTTTTTAATTTAAACTATAGTGGGTACAGAAAAATTACTTCTGGCAATTATCTATTTAAATGAATAAAACCCTTTTTAGAGATGCTTTCTATCTAAATATACTAGTTTGGAATTTACAGTTAATTAATATTAAGAGCATAACATGAAAGCCTTATAATTTTTGAGCAAGTATATAACCCAAATATGAAACTGATTCATCAGCAAACAGTCCAGCCTCTCTCCAAATAAGCTTCTGAGGCCTCTTTTGCAACAAGTCATTCTGATTCAAGATTTCAAAACAATTTAATATATGAACCACTTAAAAGATACAGCATTGTTAGTTATTAAGCTAATTATTAAGTTCATGAAAGGTTTTTTTGAATCAGACTGGGTAAAAAGAGATGGAATTAAGAAAATACTTTTTGAGGTAATTTTTATTAATTTAATTATTACAAACAGCTTAATAATATTCAAAATGATTTCATAGTTGAAAACTAGAAATCTGCCTTTGTGCATATGGTATCAGCAACTTTTATTATCAATTGTCTATTTTTTTCCTTATGGGTTTTAACATCTGGAAGATTAGACCCATCCTTGATATAGTCTCCCTTTTTTTATTATGATTCTGTTTGATCTGAACCTGATAGCTTTTATGAGTTTAACATCACACCACCCAGGAACCTCTATTATAGTAAGAAAAAATAATTTGATGTTTTAAATATTTAATTCTTTTTATGATTTCACTTTACTTTGTCATTATCTCACAGTTTTCTTTTTCAATGCAGCTGAATTGGCTGTTGTTTTTAAGTTAGTAAAACTATATCACATTTCATTTTTGACTGCTTTGGTTTCTTAAAGCTTTCTAATTTATGGCATTTTCCTTCCTTAAATATACCTGGGATGAGGTTGCTGGGCACAACAGGAAGAGTAGAACACCCTCTTACCAGGATCAGAGATCAAAGTGGGGGTGGGGGAGGGTTCAGGGGGAGAGAGAAAAGCAACGTGATGTTTTCTACAGGGGAGGGGTCAGAGGGAGGCTGAAGCCCCCTAGCTTGCTGGAATGAAGGGACACAAATCTAGGTTTGAATCCCAGCCCTGCTATTTATTAGTTGTTAATTGACTTCTGTGAAAGTTGAGCTCATCAGTAATATGAATAGAAATAAAAACAACTTCCAGAAGTTGGGTGAAGGTTAAATATAGAATCAGTACAATGACTGGCATGTTAGGGAGTGATCAACAATGGCAACTTTTTTCTTTTGATTTTTTTTTAGATTTTATTGGGGAATTGGGGGAAGGGAACAGCGCCGGGGAATCGGGGAAGGGGAACAGATAAGTTGCTGTCCTTTTTTTGTTCTTCAGTCTAGTGTGGAGGACGTCGCTTCACTGGCCCATGTTGGTATTATCATTGCGCTTTTCCCATGTGAGGCAGATCGCTCGCCAGCCATTGAACGGCAGCTCACGGTGGCTCAGGGCAGCTCACGAAAGCTCAAGCCAGCTGCTGGCCAGCCCCTCTGCAGCCTACGCTGTTGCCAGCGACTCATGGCAGCCCAGCTCCAGGTCGAGCTGTTGTTCACCATCTTAGCTGTAGAAGACGCAGCGTCACTGGCCCTCATGTGGGATCTGAACCGGGGCCCTGCTGCTCAGAGCTGGTGTCCCAAGCCAACTCCTAACCAACACGTCACTTGGCCGGCCCCAACAATGGCAACTTTTATTGTTTGTGGTTATTATTGTTAACTCTGGGCTCATGGAACCCGATTTTGAAAAATCTGCTAAACTGGTAGTTTAGTTGGCCACAATAAATTTGCAGTAAATCTCTCTGCCCTTTCTATCTAAGAGGATGCTAAGGGATATTACTAGAAAAATTTTCACTGATTGTAAAGTTTAAATGTTTTTAGAAAATGTGTATTTTCTTGAGAAAATGGGATTTTGCCTTGTTTAATATTTATTTTGCCTTGTTTAATATTTATTATACCTGTATGACAAATGTTTCTGTATTCAAACCGATGTAATACTTACAATTGAGAGTTTGGATGCATTTTGGCTGAAAATCATGAAATTTAGTACCTTATTGTAACTTATATAATTTAGAAATTAAAAGGAATCAGTGTTACTAATTCAGATCATTAACTATGTAATTTTACTAGCCATTGTAACCCCAATAAATTTTAATTAAAAAATAAAGAATGCTGGAGTTCTGTATTTTATGGACAAGTATTAACAATGTTTTTAATTTTTCCACTAGTACCACATGGCTTTTAAAATGGAAAACCAATTTCTTAAATTATATGATAACCATAATACGTCTCCCAAACACATAGTGATTATGGAACTAATATTCTCGCTAGAAGTGAGAATGGTTTCGATGTCATTAGGTCAAGAAACAGTCTACTGCTGAATCTTTTAAATTTGCTATTTTCCACATCACTTAAAATAGACATTAAAATCATACCTCAAATTCTTCAGTAAAGCCACTGCTTGCATGTAAGTCTGCAACATGCTTTGGAAAGTGCTTTACTGGAATTGCCCCAACATCATCTAAGAGAATAAAAAAAAAAAAAATTAGGTTGGAAAGGGTAATTCAAATTAAATAGGTGTGCCTCTCATTTGTAAAGATTTATAAAGTGGCTTCTTCTAAAACAACTTCAAAGTGCCCTTTTAATCCCAATGGAATCACAGCATTCAATAAAAGATGAAGCAAGAACCACCAATTTTCTCCATATTTATATTAATCATAACCTGCATTTCAGAGTTCTGATTTGATCAGGAATTTCTTTTCCTCTCATACTCTAAAGAAAAAAGAATTAATTTTCAATATTAAATTATAGATTCCACCAAACCTGGATTGGGGGAGGGAGACTGTCACTTTGTGAGGGGTGAAAAGTATAACTATTGCATTGTTTTGTACACCTGAAGCTAATAATAAATAAATAAATAAGTAAATACCACCAAACCCCCACTTCTAATCAATGGACTGTATCTCTTTATGGCTAACTTTCTTGAACATGTGTGGGAGTTGCATGTAAATTCTGGGGGAAAATGCAGAAATAATATATTTTCAATTTTACCATGGCCTGAAAATAATATCTAGTGCAATTTCAGTTTTATAAAATTGTATAGTTTAATGGCTTACAGTTAACTAGTCAGATTTTTACTTGAAATCATTTTTTCCTTCACTTTATAAATAATAAAGAACATTTATATGCAGGCTATTCATTAAAAATAATGTCAAAAACCTTTGGGACTTTTAATCTATAATATTTCAAAAATTTTAACTTGAAAATATGCTGTGTAAACAAACTCACTGAATCTGTTAATTAATTGTGAAGGGGCCAAATTATTTCAACTGGCTATTTTATTTTTACCTGGAAAGACTTTCTTAGATTAAACATATTACTAGTTCACAGTATGCAATTTCACAAGTGATTTCTCTGACAAGGAAACATCAAACACATTTCACTACACACAGCTATTCACATCAACAGATGTTCAGATCTAGGCCATTTAATACTTTTAAGCTTCAGTTACCAAGAATTTGCTAATTTAAGAAAAAAAATTAAAATCCATCTGTTGTGTGCCTTTTAGATGAGTGTACCTGAATGCTAAAATTGAATTAGCCAGTTAAGCTTAAGAAACACTAGGGAAAGGTGTAATTCCACCTTCACACCTACAGAAAGATCTTGCCTGGAAGTAGCTTTTATAATTAGGTAAGAAAACAGAAGTAATTTGTCACAGCTCAATCATTGGCTCTTCTAGTAAAGGTCCTTCAAGCCCATTGCTATTCTCCTGTATAGGTAACCTCTTTCACAAGCAAACTGACTACTTTTTATTTACAGTTATGTTATCATGGTTATTTCTTTTATGAATTGGTCTGCAAATAGGTGAGATGAACATATCTTTTTATTTTCGGATTTTACATGAAAATGTGCATATTTGGGTGATCAAGAGTGAGCAGGTGAAAAGAGATGTTCTTGATTACTATTCTGAGACGTAGAACAGGATTTTGGATTTCATGGGCAAGGTCCTGATTTTACTTTATTTGTTGTTAATAATAAACCATGTTGGACTTTGGATAACAGGATGGTTAATTTGCACACCCATGCTGCTGGGGTACGTAGAAGAGGCATGTTTGAAAAGTGAAGAGAATCAAAAGGCAACAGATACCTGAGAACTGTCAGTCTCCAAATTCTAAATATGTGCGCTGTACGCAAATAAACACACACAGATTTTTAATATAAACTAGAAAAACAGAAATAAAACAGCAGTTGTTAAAGACACAGAGCTGATGAAAAAGAAAAATAGGGCCAAACATTTCTAATTCCTACCCTTCTCGAAAATTACAAAGAAAATGCTTCCCTCTGGTTTTTTTTAATTTTTCCTTCTGTTTTTTAAATCATGAGATTCCAGAAGAAAACATCATGTACAACTTGGGCCTTTAGCAATAACATATGTAGTACCAGGTTAAAAAAGAGGCTTCTGTAAAACGGCCATGGAGATGAAGTTTTCTTTGGTTTTCCCTGATTTGGTGACTCTCTCTGTCCTTGTCTCATCCTCTGACCTTCAGTTTTCTTCCATAGTCCACACATTTCTAGACAATTCTTTATTTGTTACCACTTTCCCACTTTCATTCTGAAACGTTATACAATGTTAATTTGGTAAGTGTCTGTGAGCTTAGTTATGGTGTGAACGAGAGGCTCAATGGTGTCTCAATCAAAATGAAACTGGCTAATTCTTGCGTATTGCTGCCAGGTAAGTGCTGATAAAAAATAAAAAAAAAGTTAACGTTTTCCAAGGTATTTAATTGACTGACATTTTGATTTGAAGTATTTCAGGCAACCATACATTCTTTATGCTCATGCATTTTTCTACCCTAACCATTTTATGTATTTTTCCCCCTAATGCAGTTAAGAAAACTTTTCCCCCATAAACTCAGATGATCAGAAAGAAACTAAGCTGTATCCTCATTTTTGTCATCTTGTCCTATCTATCCTATTGCATTGATTTAGTTGGGTTTTGCTGTGTAGGTTCCCATTAAAGTAACTGAAATGACCGAAAGTCAGCATTCTTCTTAACTAATATTTTGTTGTTACAATATTTATGTTCTTTAACATATTACATCTGAACAATTATAAATTATTTGGCCACATCACCTGTATGGTTAAGAATATTCAAAATGTATGAGAACAAGATATAAACCTGGGTGCCTGATATATGATGTAATAAATATTTGGGGCAACATAAATATTTGCTAATCTATATTTCAGCCATTTGCGAAGTATTCCAATAAGGACAAACCTTCCAACACTGTGCTTCTCCACAAACATCTACCAGCTACTCATAGTCACACGTTAAGCTATTACCTGAAATTGGAAAGATAGGTGTTGGAGGTGTGGATATTACTCGAGGGGAAGTACTGTCCTCTAAATAAAAGTGTGCAGTCTGGAAGCATTTCCTGAAAAGAAAAGAAAGCAATTTATACTACTGGCTGCCATGGATAATAAGACAACTTCTGATTGCTTGAAAATTACCACAGAAATGTCCAGAATTGAAACGTAAGTGGAAATCTATATCTATTTTATAACACACAAGGTATTAAAGAAATTTATGGCCTCCAAATTTACCTCAGTTTTACCTGTACCAGCTGCAGGAGAGTGGACATGCTGAAAGCAGAGACAGCACCTGAAGTAGTTGGTGCCAAGTAGTACTTTGATGAGATGGGATGCCTCTATGCCCTGGTTTCTCTTTCACTATGGCTATATACCAGTGTGTCCTGTCATCTTGGACAGGACCAGAGAGGAAAAGAAAGTGTGTGCAAAGCTATTTTCACTCAATATTTCAGTGACCAGGTCCTTCTGAGCATATTCAGGTGCTAGCAAAAGGCAGCAAGCTATGGCTATGTGGAAAAGAAATTCCACAGTGGTACCATTTTGATGAAAAAAAAGAAGGCAGCTTTATACTCTAAGTATAATGCAGCAATGACAGAACAAAGTGAGGAAATGATGAGCATGTAACCAAAAACAGGGGTGATTTTCTTTCCAACAGATCCTAGCCTTGTTGATGAGGGTTTTGAGAATAAATATATTTGGAATCAACGACAACTGTGACCTACAATGTCACCTGAATCTATTTTCATTCAGATAATAAGAGTAACATCTGGTAAGAGCACACTCCAAACTACTGAGAAGAGCAAAGAACCAACTGCTGTTATAAACTATTGCAAACCATCCCTAATTAAAAAATTTAGATAATTAAAACTGCTAATGACACTCTTTGATGTGGGTCATTTGATTTACTTGAAGTAGCATTCATGAGTGGTTAAGTTGAACGTGAAATATCTGTTGGAGTAAAAACGCCAATCTCATTTTTCATTTAAAAGCTTCAAGCTACAAGATATTTGTCCTAATGAACTTGAACATAACAGTTGTTCTTATAGGACACACCTACATTGTGACATACTGGGTTGTCGGAAAAGTCATGACGTAGTTTTTCTCTGTTTTTCGTTGCAAAAATGCATCATGACTTTTCCGATAACCCAATATTCTCAGTAATAAGTTCCCTGCTTTAAATTCTTCAATGGCTTCCCACTGGAATTAGAATGATATTCAGTTATTTCAGCAGAGACTGCGACACTGGGTGACCTGGCCCCCTGCCCACCTCAGCAGTCTCAGCGCCTGCACGTCCTTCCTCACCCCCTAGGCTCCAGTTCACACTGGTCTCTTTCTCCCTCAAAGAGGCCCTGTCAGCATCATCTCGAGGTTTTGCTCTTTCCCTCTGGGCCCCTCCCTACCTCCCATCATTTTTGCATTAGCTCAAGTGTTACTTCCTCTGAGAGTTCTCTGACCAGACCTGCTAAAAGTACCACCCAGCCCACCAAGTCCCTATTCTTAGCCCTTCTGTTTGCTTTGTGGTGCTTATCACCATATAAAATACCATATTGATATATTCGTTTATTTGTCTGACATGTTTTTTCACTGATCTGACCTCATCAGTGTGTCAACTCCACAAAGGGAAAGTACTCTGCCTTAATTGCTGCACTGTTAGTCCTCGGTGCTAAGAGCAGTGTCAGGCATGTTGTCGGTACCCCAAATATATGTGTTCAATGAATTCACTGCAATACGTATGAGTAGCATAAAATTATGTAACTTAGAACCTTCATTTCACAAGAAAACAAAATCCAAAAGGAACGACATGCATAGCAAAAACTAGCCCTCTGCTCTGGTGGGACACGCCTTCGATTTAGCAAGCCTGTGAGAACACAGGTAACCAAGAGGCTGTAAGAATGTCTTCCAAAGAGAACAGGTGGTGCAGGAGGGAGACGGCAAAGTGATAAAGGGACCCTGCATAGGGTCTTATCCCAGACAGTGTTGCGAGTGTGGCAGGCTAATGAGGGCTGGAGGGATGAAGGTCAGAGGTCACACGAGAAGGAAACCATCCTATTGAAAGTCTACATTTGGGCATAGCCAAACCCAGGAGCTGAGACTGCAGGCAAAGCTTGGCTTATTTGTGCAACCACAGATACATTGATATGGAAACACTGGGTGGAGACTTGATTTTAAGAGCACAGAGTTAAAATATCTTTGATTCCTGTAAATATGATTACACAAACCAGCAAAATGGATTCTGTTTCTTTTTCAATGAAGCGTAAAGTTACAAAATGCCTTCAGGGGCATAGTACAATATCACAACTAAAAAAAAACCAATCCCGTCAACAACATTTTTGACATATGAAGAAGGTCCAGTTTGAATACCTTCAGTGACAAGGTGCTCACTTCTTTAGGAGTCACTTTGAGTTCCTAGATATTTCTTTCTTATATTAACTCGAAACTCATTCCCTTCTAAGTTACCTCCAAATGGTACCAGAGAGCCCAATCCACTGTCATGCCTCCTACTGTTGAAATCTTTCTTCTATCAAGCCCAAAATCTATCTCCCTATTATTTTGACACTTTGGCTCTAGTTCCGTACTTATCAGATTTTCAGAGTTGGGTAACCAAGATCTTTCGATATGTATACCTGCTTACTTACGATCCTCACCCTTTTTGATGTTTATATTCCAGTAATGCTAACAAGTCGTAGATAACAGAACATGCTTTGTTCTGTTCTGACTCAGTATTTCTCCTCCCTGCTTTAAACGTGGCTCTCCTTCTGACCCAAATGCCTCACTCACTCATATGTCAGGAAAACTCTGTCCTCCTTAAAAATAGCTCAGTGGTACCTTCCCTGTGACAGCCTCTTATTTCCTGTGCAGACTCTAGCATTCCACTTTCTTAGCTTCCACTGCACCCAACACAAACTTCCATTCACACTCACCTTTAGAGAGATTGCTTTGAAAAATACGCTTAACTAATCCAAGGATGACCTTTACTTCCTGGATATAATTCTCCATTATTTTAAATATTTGTATTAACTGGTTGTTAGGGTAATTGTTTTGCAATATATTTGTTTTCTTCCTATATCCTCATTACATTTTTTTCGAAAAGATGGGTCCATGTCTTTTGATTGATGTAGATCCAACTTTTAATACTGTGCCAGGAGTACCATAGATGTCAAATAATGAATGATTAGATGGATTTCCAGGAGCAAGTATATCTCACCAACCACAAATTATTCAGCTGCATCCTAGACTCTCTTGCCTACCTGAGCTTTTAATGGGATAACTTAAAATCTCAAAACATTTGGGAGGAAGAGGTGGAACATATAGTGAGAGAAAAATAGGTAAATGGATAGATAGCTGGATGGATAGATGGATGGATGGATGGATGGATGGATGGACGGAGTATGTGTCGGAGAGAATGGGAAGAAGGTAGCATCTCATAGAATAGAAAAGGTAAATTAAAACATGTTGGTATTGAGATTTGACATGTTGCTAACATTCACTGTAGTATCTGAGTATATACTAGCTCTCCTCTTTTCAGCTATGTAATCAAACATTTGTTGATTTTAAAAATAAGTGGTGCATTAATGTTACCTGCATTAACCAGTAACAAAAGAACCTTATAAATCATACCAAAAAGCTTATAAGTGGAAAAAATTCAAGCAGTACAGGATAAACCCTGGATGAAAGGCATCTGTACATTGTTTAGGTATATGTTATAGAGGTTACCTAGAGGTGAAATTATACTTGAAAGGCAGCATGGTACCAGGAGGCCTCCAAGCTGAGTTGATAGCTCCTCTCAATGGCCCACAAATTTAAATTTCAGATCAAGAGAGAATTTGTAATGCTTTTCTTCCCACTCCTCTAACCAAAACAATGTGTCTGTGGAAAGGTTTTTTCTAAACTGTTTTTGATGGAGTGCTGTCTTGTTCGCTATACCTTTGGTATTTTTTAGATTCTAACTATTAAAAAAAGCTCTCAAAAATTCACCCTTTGTCTTCTTTAAATAGAACTTTGTGAAAATCTTCGTTATTGAAGTAATTTTGCATCTTAGGAACTTACAACTTGGCTCATGTAAATTATACCTTAAAACATCTGGAAAACAATTTCCAGGCATATTATTTAATGTATGACAAGATTCAATATCTATAGTCCATCTGTTCTGTACAAGCAGTGAATGTCTTCACATCGATGTGCTAAGTGTTGATAACTGTGTCTCCTGCTAATTATCACTCAGCCATGATGAAAAAAGTGATGACTGTTTTAAACTTGTAGACATAGGTCCTATCAATCAATGTTAATCTGATTATTTAATTTACACCCTTTCATCACAGCAAGTATTTAGAATTGAAAGCTAGAAATGTGTAATTATTATTCCATTTTTTTGATCCTTAGACAAACATGAAACAATGTTCATCATGCGGCCTTCATCACAGAAGCAATGCGGAAGGTCTGACTGAAACCTTAAAGATGATCTAGTGAACATTCCCCCTAAAAGGTAAAAAGAAAAACTAATTCCTAGGTGGGTCAGTGATACACCCAAGGCCACACAGCAAATGCCAAGCTGTACTGGAAAAGCGATCCAGATGTTATCACCTCTAATTTGTTCTGTCTTCCTGCTGCCTGCTATCTCCCAAGGTTTACACAAAACACAGGAGACCACCTTGAGTGAGGTAAGGTAGACAAAAGACAGGATTTATTACACCACTTTGAAGTTATCTTTTCTCCTAAAAATTAGGTTTGGAAAAAATTTAAATATATAAACTTGGAAAATCTTATAGGACCATGTTGCCGTTAGGACTTTTGTTGGTATGCCATTGGAGTTGTCAACCTTTCCACAGGCTGTAGTTTCCCAGAACATCTAAAATGTTTCCATACTGGCTAGTGAAATCATATCATTTACAAACGTATCTACAATGGAACTTGGATAATTCATACACCCTTGAAGAATGCACTAACACTGACCTTTTGTACTGTAGCAAATTGTACCCCTACTGTATTACTGATATAAAAAGTTATATTTTGAAGTGATTTAACTTCAAATGGATGTGAGTAGGACAGATATGTTATATTTTGAAGTGGGTAAGAGTGATAAATTTTATCAGAACATTTGATATTTTACATATATATATATATATGACTATAAGAGTGCTCATTTTAAAACGAATGAACTCTGTATTCAATGTACATAAATTGTTATTTGTAAGGAAAAGAGAAACATCTATGGGTGAAGGTCAAATTTATGTTTTCCAACCTGTAATTTTATCTTTTTTCTCTATATAATACAGATGGGATGACCCATTACTAATATAAGATAAAAATCACTCCAGATTTTAATTTTCCACGAAATATTAAATCATATTTAATAGGGCTGATTTTCAAATTTGTAGAAAATAAACTTAAAATATTAAGTAATAGATTAAGGGTTCATTGTTCTTATTTCAACATTATAACTATAAACCATATGACATCTTTATTGGAACTTTATTCTAACACTATTTATTATGAAGTAGAATTTGGTCCTACTGTCCATCTTATTTTAAATTTGTTTAACCCCAATTTCCATTAATTTCAAAATTTGGTTTGGCAGGAAAAATCAGATTAGATATAAACCAGTATTCTAAATAAACATGATATCTATGTTGGTAAGAAGTTGGGCTAACAAGCTCAGTAGGGAGTAAGGAGAAAAGCAATATGAATGCTTGTTGAGCAAACATTTATAGATTATGTACGGTGTTCATGATACTCTACTGAGCATGCACTCTTCTGTAAAAAGAGTCTTTGGCAATCATAGAAATTACTGAAGAAAGCAGCTTTCTTAGCATCATGGTATGGACAAAATAGACTCCTAACCCATGTAAGATAACAAAAGCATGACCTGTTCTTCGTAGCCTACAGTTTACTGTGTTCAATAAAGGAAGTTAGGTATGAAATACAGCTGGCCATGGAAACATTCTACCTTAGCCAACCCATGACCAACCACATGCACCGACATGCTCCAGGCCTCACTGTCTCAGACACACTCAGCTCACTCCTGCTTCCTGGTCCTCCTTCTTGTTGTGTCCTGCCTGGAATGCCTTCCTCTTTTTATCTCCACTTTCTGAATTCTATCCAGCTCAAGCCCCTACATTTTACATTTACCCTATACAGTGTGACCTATCAAGATCCCCGTTCTCTGACCACCTTTAGCTTTAGAGATGTCAGCTGCTGTGCATATGCTTTTTGTAATATTTTATATTTTTTTTCATGGGAACTTATTTCTCCTCAATATGCATAAATTTCTTGACAGAGTGATGGTCATTCATGCATTCATTCATTCATCCACTTTTTAATATTTTTCCATAGTAGTTATCATAGTACGAGGCATATGGGAAACAGTCAATAAACACAGTAAATATCTTTTAGTAAAATGAGAGAATGTATTTGGGGATAACACACAAAGAATGGTGATAGGAACTTATAAAAAGATGTTGCTAAGCAAAAAGGAACTAATTTTAGACCTTCTGAACAAAATTCTCTTTTAAAACAAAAGTATATGTTCATTGCAGCAGTATTCACAGTGGCCAAGACATGCAAACGACCAAAGCGTCCCTCGATAGATGACTGGATAAAGAAGCTGTGGTATATATATATATATATATATATATATATATATATATATATATATATATATATATATATACAATGGAATATTACTTGGCCCTAAGAAAAGATGAAATAATGCCATTTGCGATAACATGGATCTTGAGAATATCATGCTAAGTGAAGTAAGTCAAACGGAAAAAGTCCAGAACCATATGATTTTACTCATATGTGGGATATAAAACTGTAAACAACAAAAAAACAAGACAAGCAAACAACAAAAACTCATAGGCAAAGACAACAGTATGGTGGTAACAAGAGGGAAAGGGAGATGGGGGAATGTAGAGAAGCATAAAGGGGTCAAATATATGGTGACAGAAGGAGATTTGACTTTGGGTGGTGAGCACACAATGCAATATACAGATAATGTATTATAGAATTGTACACTTGAAGCATATGTAATTTTATTAACCAGTGTTGCCCTAATAAATTTAATAAAATGGAAAAAACCAAAACTATAAAGTACTAACCTATGCCCTTTCTTAGTTTACAGATATGATTCCTTATAGCATCATAAAGTCCTTGTTTTTCAACAGACAGTTATATTGACTTACATTGTAATCCTAGGACACTTACTCATTTGCTGTGTGTTTGTCTTGCTATAGGATAGGAAGCTTATGATAAGTGCAATTTTCCTTGTCCTTTAAAGGTGTTAGTAGGTTATTGATGAGAGTGAAGCAAATTTTACCCTCAAGGCAAATTATAATAAATGTTAAAATCTCATGCATCTTAATATAGTCATTAACTTTATTTTCTAATTATATTAATATTTTAATTGCTTGATTTTTTTTACTTTGTATACAGATTATCATTTTTCACAGCATGCAGTTGATATGCACCTTGTACAAAATCTATTCTTCATAAAAAACTTTTTTACTCTATAAAAATTATGTTTTTCTAAATAATAACTTTTGAAGTTATAACAGCTGGAGCATTTAAGCTGAAAAGCTTAGATTTATGTTAAATACTATGATAATGTTTGAATGTTAATTAGATTAATATGAAAGTGTAACTGTCAAAATACTGTATTATATTAACCGAAGCCAAAGGTTCTCCATTTTACTTTTAATTACTTGATTGAATTATGAGGACAATCAAATCTTTTATTATTATATCTCCAGATTCAAAAATTCACCTTATTCATAGTTACCTGAATAAATTACTGGTAACTCTCACATAAAAGGAATTTTGAATGTGCTTTGAAAACATTTCAGGTAAAATAACAGGCAAAATCTGAGCTTTATGAAATTCATTTCCAAAACAAACACTCAACTTACCTCCAGTAGATGAGAATACCCACAAGAACCACTAGACAGATAAAAGTCAGGGCTGACACGATCACAAGGGGTATAACCGCCTTCTTCTCAGATTCCAACCCCTCAGCTAGACCAATACGAGACTCATGGCTACTATTACTGGCCTCTGTAGTCGAAGAAAATGGAGAGAGTTGATATTTAAACTCAAAGAAAAGTTATAACATTTTTCAACTGAATAGTTGCAACCTTTATTGCTGTTGCTTACCTTTAAAATTGTGACTCTATAATGTAAAAAATCTCTATGATTAGAAGTCAATTTAAGTAAAATAAGGTTTAAAAAGTAAGGCAGGCTATCAGAGCTTAAGAACTTAATATCCTAACAGATTGGCACCCAGGTAGGGGTGCCGTGGCAAGAAGTGAGCATCCTACTGTCTTGAAAAGATTGTGAAAATGGAAGTGGAAGTATCAAAATAAGAAAACTACCTAGATTTTATTTATTTATTTTTTCTACCTAGATTTTAAATAAAATGATCAGGAAAAACATTACTACTTACTGAATCACAATATATAATCTTGATTTTCCAAAATTAATTTTAAAGAAATTATTAATATTTTTAATCCTACAATTAGGTAAATAATTAGGACCAGTTAATAGTTTCACGAAGAGAGAATCTTAGGATAACCCTTCTTACATTAAGATAACCTTTCAATTTAGCAAATTATTTAACATTTAAATGTAGGTTTCTTTTAAAATGGTATTTTGAATACCTTCTTATCAACTGTTTTTCTATATCAATAATAAAAATACTATTGCACGTGAATTGAAGGACTATATAGACTTAAGAGATTCTTTTCAAATATGCAAGTGTAAATTATGAGAAAGGCTGAATTCTGCCCTTGGGTTCATTTTAAAAGTTGGCAAATGACTGTTTTTGTGACCACATGGGTATGTTAATGTTCTAGCACTTTCAAAATCACTGCCACTGGAGTTATTCTTCCAAGTTGTTAAAACGAGTTTCAGGATTGCAGGGTGTCGGTGGCCCATCACCACCCTTCCCTTCTACTTTGAGGCGTGTGCAGTGGGAAACCAAGATGGTTGAACATTAGAACTGTTCTAGCACCTGCAGAAGTTCTGATGGAACTAAATTTTAGTTCTCAGTAAGATCTACATTGTGTACATTGTGATGTATACAAATGGCACATTTGGTGTGGTTATACTAAGTATCGTACTATTAGTGATATGAGACAGATTCAATTTAATTTTAAATATTTAAGAGTAAGGCATTTGAGAGTCACAAATTCATAAACATGACATTCAATTATATCTAATGCAGGGAACTTAAGGTTTAAAATGATAGCTTCCTTCTATAACTGGGTGATGCAAAAAAAGAGCCAATAATTTAATCTACTCAACATATCAAAGGAGTATAAATGACACCCAAATTTCCCAAGCTATTTGTTCTTATATTTATGGATGTTTTTGCTAGAAAAAAGTGATATTTGAAGGTGTGTGACTAAAAGTTCCTGGTACCTAGTAATTACAAATGGTGGTTAATATTATTATCTGTATCAATCATGTTTGAAATGTGGTTCCCAGAATAATGGCATTAGCATCATCTGGAACTTGTTAAAAATGTAAATATTGGGCCCCACCCCAAATGCCTCAAATTTACTGAATCAGGAACTCTGTGGATAAGGCCCAGCAATCTGTGTTTTCACAAGTCCTCCTGGTGATTTTGGTTCACAGTAAAGTTTGAGAACCAATGATATACATTAATTTATACATAATGTGAGTTTATATAATTACACATCTTCAACGACTACAAATATTCATAACAATATGTATATAGGTATATACATACATATCTCATTTATATAGATGTACAGACACATACATGAGATATGTCTGATCATATATGTGATCTATATGTAAGATATAGTATAACATAAAACATGTAACAAATTACCATATATATCACACACACTATATACCCACACTATTCATACACATGTGCACATACAGTCTGGTATATAGACTCATCTCATAAGTTCTCTGGGAGGTCTGATTTTAAAATAAACCCTTTAACTGAGCAATCAGAATGATAAATCCATGGTAATCACATATTATAAAACCTAGATGGGCTACTACATGAAAGTACACAATACACTGGTTGCTTTGTATATTATAATGAAGAAACTAGTTGTATTGATTTTTATATTCATTAGTTAAGCTTAAAATATTTATTTTGATATGACTCAATAGCACACATGAATTACCTAAACGATAAGACAAGAAACTACTAATATACAATTAGGAAATAAAGAACTAAGATGAATATTTTAAATTATGTTTTCTGAAAATCACAATGTAATTTTGGTATTAGAAATTAGGCATTATATGTATTTTTTATTGTCTTCAATCTTGAAAGCATAATCTCTAAGAAACAGACAACAATAACACAGGTTTCCAGTCTCAGTTTTGTATAAACTCCCTAATTGACCTGGATTAAGTAGTCTAGTATCTTTGGGTTTTGGTTTACGCAGATATAAACTGCAGGTTTTAATATCTGTCTTATCTATATTATTTTGAGGACCATGTCTTGTAAGTTATTCTACATTTAAAAATGTATAATCAAATTATAAGTTTTGGAATTAGTCCATATGCGTTTGATAAAGAGGCATATTCAATTATAAGGCATAACATATTGGGTTGTCGGAAAAGTCATGACATATTTTTTCTGTTTTTTGTTACAAAAATGCATCATGACTTTTCAGACAACCCAATATAATTTTTTTTACAGATACAGATTTAAAAACAGACCAGAATTTTCCCCTAATTTTGTTTTATCTTATTTACTTCATTAATTACTTAATGATGTTGGATGTTATATTTATATTATTTTCTCATCAGTGGGAAACTTACTCAAATAAATCTAATTAGTGCATTGAAGGGAAATTGCTAAGTTAGGTAAATAATTCTAGGTTTTGCATTATATATATATATCTATATATCTATATATGGATATATATAGATATATATTATAGATATAGTGTTCCCATAACAGCACACTATAGCAAAAATATTTGAATGACACCATTATGCAATAAGATAGAAAAATAGATTCCTGATAGATATGTTCCTTTAAAATAAATCTAATAAAAATAAATAAAACACAAGTACTATAATTGGAGCCAGATAACAACTCATACATATGGCGATACTAGTAAAAATGGTGACCTCTGGGTTCATAATTTATTCTCACATCTCAGAGTTTAAGTTTTTAAATTGGAATGCCATGTTAAATGGTATCAAGTCAGAATACTGAGAAAACCTTCTCTATCAAAATGTACAAACTTTTAACTGCTGCTGTACTGGAAGAAAAATATGCAATCAATTCAAAGGATAAAAATAACAAAAGAGGGAAAATATCCTAATGAGATTGGTGTCTGTGTTCTTTTATCCACTTTTATGCAACAATAGTGCAGGATGTTACTTTCGCCTGTTTTTTAACCTACTGTTACGATTTAAGTATTTTCACTGTTAATTGTAAAAATGCCTTAAAAATTAATAAAAGTGGATTATAAAATTCTTATGATTCATTCAATGAAATTATCATATGCTCAATGGTATTGCATTTCCCTTTTCTTCTCACTGGCATGTAGAGCAAACATCTGTATTATAGATGGTGTAAGTAATCCTTTTAAGAAACATCTGGCCACTAACTCATTTGCATAAAACACATTGTTAAGTGAAATGCATTTCTTCAGAAAATTTTCAAGGGTTTTACATCTTGTCATACAATACCTATACATACACTGCATATTAATGTCCATTATTCAACTTCTTAGACAGGTGTATAACAGCAAGTGCAAAGGAGAACGTGTTTTGTTAGTTAACACTGCCCTCTTTAGGCAACATTACGGTAACCAAACAAAGACAACTTTTAAAAATTTGAGCCTCGTTTAAAAATATCTTGCCATTATTTCTCAAAACGTAGCAATAGAACTTTTTTCAAAGCTCCCCAAGCTAAGGTGGGTGTGCAAATTACGTAATTCTTTTTCATGGGTCGGGTCAGGGAGAGGTGTTTATCTCATATTACTATCAGAATTTATAATTCATTGTATCATTCGACAGAATTATTTCAGAACATGAAGTAAACATGAAAATTAAAACCATCTAAAAATAGCATACTCCAATCTATCATTTAAAAAACAGCATATATATATATATATATATATATATATATATATATGATGTACACATAATGGCTTTCACATATAATAGGCATCTTGTAGAATACGAAAAATTGACAATAAATAAAAATCACTTTATCTATTTTGAAGAGAATTAAGGACCAAAACAAACAAAACAGAAACAGACTCATAGATTCAGAGAACAAACTGATGGTTGCCAGAGAGGGGGGGCGTGGGGGTAAGGAGATGGGTGAAAAAGATGAAGGGGAAATAGAGGGACAACCTTCCAGTTACAAAATAAAGAACGCACAGCGGTGTCATGTACAACACAGGGAACAGTCAACAATATCATAATAACTTTGCACATAAGAGATAGTTAATAGACTTATCATGATCACATCGTATGGTATATAATGTCGAATCACTATGTTGTACAACTGAAACAAATACAATAGGACATGCCAACAATGCTTTGATAAAAAAATTAAAAAAACATATTGAGTATTCATTTGAGTAATGAATAAAATCATACTTTAAAAGCTGTAAATTGATTTCATGTTTCGATTTAAAAACAAAGTGCTATTTTACCAAATTTCTATCTTTCCAGGATTTTTGTATTCTTTGAGAAAGAAGACCACCACACCTGAGTCTGTCCCTTTGATCCGTAACTAACCTGCCTCTGAAATGTTGAATACTTCTGAGTGCCCGCTAGTAACAGTCGGTGTTGAGGGCTGAGGGGGTCCAGGAGTTATTTCTGAGTCTCCTGCTTCCAGGGCCCCATCAACGTCTCTTTCGTTAACATCTGGAAAGCTGAAATCTGTAGAAGTCTCCTTATCATTAAGGCTATCTGAGGTACTGTGCCCTGATCCACTCTCTTCATCACTGGTAAGAACTGCCCACGCTTTAGATTCTGGGGGGAAAGGAAGCTGGGTGTTACCAGCCTGTGTTCCATCATAGTGCTTTTGGGGGAGCACATTTATAGGTGGTGATTTGTCAGGACTTCTGTCTATATCACTCTGACTGTCTGAGGTTACACCTGTGACTTTATTTTCTTCTTCAGGCTTCTCAGATAGTGAATATGAGATTGGGTTATTCGGATCCACAAGGCTGTTTTCCTGGGGGTCTGAATCATTCATTACCTTTTCCTGGGATTCTCTATAAAAGCATGACATACACTTATATATGGATACGCCATCTCTATCTCTGTCATCCTCATCATCATCATCACCAGTGTCACCATCATCACCACCACCCACTAGCTCAGCGTCCGATCTGGCTCTGTGAGTCAGCTCAGAAGTTGGTTTAGAAGGAAGCAGGGACTTGGCAGTGGTAACAGAACCATCTCTGTTGGGAGAAACAGCTGTAATGGAAGCCAACCCATTTCCTAAAGGAACAGAACGATCAGCAGTTACGAGTGTAGCAGAAACAACTGTTGGAATACCAGCAAATACCTCATCGGCAAGAGAACCCGTGATGGAGGTGAACACTTCATCAGAATACATAAGCTTATTTGTAAGTGTATTTGGTGGCATGTCCATCGATAAAACGGGAGTAGCAAATGCACGCTCTCCTGGGGGAAAGGCATGGCGGATCTCCACGTCGGCAGCGTGTAAGAACTCATCATTACCATGCAAGGAAGGCGCCCTTTGTTGGGGATGTTCGCTGTTAAGCAAAACTGGTTCAAAATATTTCTTACTTGCATAAGAAATGGTTAAACCTTGAAGTGAAGCAGCAGGCATATTAGAAGCAGGCGATACATCAAACCCTGGTACAGACGTAGCGAGCCGTGCGTTTTCACTTGAAGCAGAATTTGATGCCATGAGATGTGACAATGTAGGACTAATTTGATCAACCTTGGGGGTTTCAACCAATTTTGGGTCACTAGGCACAGCTGGGAGAGCGGTTTTAAGCAATTTGTCAGCATCAGGAGCCTGAAAGGAAGGTTGCAGCAATGACACTTCAGTATTAAAAGAAGCTGAGGCCTCGTAAAACAAGAGTTGAGTTGAAGGAGATAACATTTCACTAGGAGCAGGGTCAGAGGATGCTGGCTCTGAGTTTGCACTAAGCACGGGTTTAAGAGAAGTGTCACCAAAGGCTTGAGCTACAGCACGCGTAGGCTGAAGTGAAAAGTTATTTTCTGGAATTCTACTAATCTCATGATCAAAAGCCTTAGTGGCAGCGTAAGCAAGAGAGTCTGGGAGTATGCCGTGTGTGCTAGAAACGGAAACAGGGGATTCTCGTAAAGATGTATTCAACTTATTTACATTATCATACAGGTCAGGCATGACTGTGCTTTCAGAATGGTAAAGCATCCCACTGAAAGAAGAAATCTGCAGTTCAGTCTGATTTCCATCTATTACGTCACTTTTAGAAAGCGTCTTATCATCACTAAACACAGATGACGTATAGGTAAATTCAGCTACAGAAACAGGTGAAGAAAGGTTAAGGGCCATCAGACCATCAGGTAAAAGAAATTCACTATCAGAGGAGGCTCCAGACCAGTCTCCATCACCAGACAGGCCCTGGGTGGGCGGCAGCACTGACGTGGAGGGGGTTATTAACAGAGACTCGGGCATCGGTGGGTGGCTAGGGCTGCTAAGGAAGGAACCGTAATGAGCTACCTCAATGGAATCATGCACGGGTATTGCAGAACTGTAAGAAGCAGTGAGGAGGTGTTGGGGGCCCTTGATATCAGGTAAGGCATGAGAAGGTTCAGGCCCTGAAGAACTTGCATGCATCATGACATCACTGCTGGATGGCTCAAGTGCAGAAAACATAAGCGTTTTATAAAGGACCCCAGAACCATGACCACCAACTTCCAGTGTCTCTGAGGCAGCACGAGTAGTGGTCTGATGTGACAGCACGTCAGAATACTGAGCAAGGCTGGGCTCTAGCAGTAAATCACCCCCGGCCACTGGCAGAGAAGCCTGCAGGGACACCTTACCACTCTCACCAGCTGACGTAACTTGTGGAAGGATGGGGGAGACTGTAGACAGATGGTGAAGCCATTCACTACTGAAGGAAGCAGAGGAAAATGGAAGCGAAGGTGCACCCTCATAGGAAGACAGGATGGGCTCAAACGACACACCGACACTGGGAAACACAGGCGTAGCATGCAAGGCCGACTCACTACTCGAAGCGGCAGGGGCAGTGTTGAGGATCTGATTGTCAAGCAACAAAGGGGTGACTAGAGGAAAGGCTTCACTACTGGAGGAAGGTGGAAGAGGTGTCTCACCATTGTATACTGGCTGAGTTGTCTGCGACTGTACCATGTTGACAGTGGCGACTGAATCGTGTGGTCCGGAGGATGGAGTAAAAGCATAAGGTGTTACCTCGGTTGGGAAGTAGGCAAATGAAGAATAAGATGGCATTTCTGTATCTGTGACTGAGGGAGCCTGTGACACCAGTGGGTCTGGAGAAGAGGACTCAGTTGTCTTCTCGGATTCCTCAATATGTATCTTGGTGTAATTAGTCTGGAGGAAGCCCTCTCTCCCTGAGCCAATATCAGGCTGTGTCATCACATCTGTAGTACCAGGAAACCACACATCTCCATCCACGGAAGGATCCCTGAGAGAGTCTTCCGAGCCTGAGGAGGCTGACTCTTCTGAAGCATTTCTTGTCAATTCAGGCATAAGGACATCATATGTGATGGCCTCTGGGTGTTCTGAAGAAAATACATACCCATGGGACGTGTCCTCAGAGATGAATGGCACAGCTGTAGTTGGAAGGCTGGAGCCTGAAGAATCATCAGCTCCTGTATCGAGCTTGACATTGGTCAGGAAACTCTCTTCCTCACTGATATCAGTAGATACCTCTTGAGATTCTGTTATCGAAACTGTATTTAAAGATTCCATAGTCCCAGGCAAGTTCATCTGTGGAAATCTGAGAATAGTTTTAGAGCCATCACTTAAAGAGGCTGACGTGCCTTCCAGAATGTGAGGTGGCAGTTTGGTCACAGTCTGTGAAGTCAAAAAACCATCTTTTTCTGGGGCTAATTCAGTGACTGGTTGGGAAGTGGAATCTAAAGATGTGTTGGGAACATCACTCTTTCCAGAGAATGCACTTCCTCTTGTTGGAAATCGGTTAGTCTTGGCCTCATTGTATTTAGTCCCCCCACGATTGTAGTTTGTCGTGGTAGAAATATGGGGTTCCTTTCTCCTTATTTGGTTAGTGGCACTGTCTCTACCAGGATTCACAATAGTGTCTTCATCGATATCTGTTCCTTCCTCTTCCTCCTTTGAAAAGCAAATACAATTTAATGGGATATAAGGAAATAAGAGAAAAACAAAATCTTAGTAATATTTTATACTGCATTATACTGTTAATCTTCACTTGTGGGATCTTGGGAACTTCTCATAAAGTACCATTCCATAGAAGCCATGCGTCTGTCCTACAACCTTTATCATCCTAGGGAGAGTAATTAAACTGAATGAAAACACCCAATTTCGGCTGCCTTTATTTTAATGCTATGACACGAAGTAATTAAATGGATACCACAGCTTTGAAAGGAAAACACGTTGTATTTATTTATTGAGAGTGTTATTTACCATAGTATTTATTTTCTTGTTTTTATGTTTCTCTGTTCAATTCATCTGGCAACAAGCTAAATAGCAATTAGCTTCTTGCAATATGAAATGGCAATGAAACAGTTTATTTCAAAGACCAAATTACTTGCATATTCAGAATATTTCATTGTGTGTATTCAGAATACATCACAATTATTCAGCCATCATAAAAAAGAAGAGGTTTTTATTTTTGTTTTTCATTTTGTTTGAAATACTTTCCATTTAAGACATTTTAAAGACAAGTTGTCCAAATATGCTTCTAGTGCTAGTTATTTAATTTGGGGGTTCCTTTAAAAATACCATTCAGGTGACCCAGTTTTTTATGAACACTTAGTCACTGTGATGGCCCAGGAGCAATGTGGCTAGAGATAAAGACTCATGTTTTCTGGTTTTGTTTTGATTTTTTTAAAAACTGTTCATTTATAATATGTCTAATCCTATGTTTAGAAAACTAAATTGTCCAAGGTATCAAGATATGAAATCTCATATCTTGATTAGTCCACATAGGACATGATTATGTTCGTTTGTTAGCATTGTCATCTATTAGATCTATTAAGGCCATGTCCCTTAGAAGAAGAAAAAAGTGACTGAGTACAAATTAGTCATTGAGAATTTGACCAGTCTCAGTAAAAGGAATCTGCATGTTAAACTATGTGTGCTCATGATCATGTGTCTCATACACACAGAAAGCTGCACTGTCTGAAACACAAGCTTTCAAGCTTAATGACTGCATCATTATCCTGAGTTTATTTCATTGATTTTGAGCGTTTTCTAATGAATATGTGACAGCTCTGAGAACTGCCAGCTTTAATGAGCTAGATTGTAGTAATGCTAAAAGCTGGTATGTCCTTAGATTCTCCAGACCAATTTCATCACTAGTAGTCAGCATTTCTTCATGACATTTTGCATTCTGTTTGAGCCCTTGTTCATAAGGACAACCCAGGCAATCTCACTGAAGAATTTCCTAAGTAAAATTCTCCCTTAATCTACAAGCCCAAAGACTTCATACAAAAGGAAGTAAGAATAGTTTGCCTTGCCTTGTTCTCATGGAAAATCTGTTGGTGCCGGATATCTCTTCTTTCCCTAGAAGTTCCCACACCTTTATTTTAGAATTTGATCCAGAGTTTTTCTGAGGATCAATGTGAGGCTTAGCAATATGGGGGTTCTAACTCTTCCTCATTTTTGCAAATCTCGATATGTGCCTGATTTTCTGGTATCGCTCTACACTCTTAACCTCAAACAAGACTCCTTTAAACTTTTTCTCTGCTCTTATCAAACCTGTGCTTACCTATCCTTCCCCCTCATTCTCAGTAGATGGCCTTTCTGTTTACTTTGCAGAGAAATTAGAAGCCACTGGACAAAAAGATAACCCTCTTTCTAACATTAAAATATCAAAAACAGGGACCAATCAAATCCACCCTCTCATCCGGTTGTAACTGAAGAGTTGTTCTTCTTTTCTAATTCCTACATCTATGTTTTAAATTCATTCTCTATCATCTTCTTGGGAACCACACACAATTGAATATTTCCCTTTGTTTTGTGATGTCAATTTTGTTTTCTCAATGGATCATACTTATGAGCTTAAATGAACTCAGATCTCTCTTATTTAAAAGGAACATAAAGAGTAATCTCAAATTCAACTTCTAGTTATTATTCTACCTCTCTCCTTCCCTTTACAACTAATGTTCCCCAAAGACATGACATCTATGTTCTCTATATGGTGCAACAATTTCTTTCAAATCCCACAATATATCGTTTCTCTTCCTCTTTGTTTATATTTTCACACAAACACAATTTATTATCTTCTTACCATAAGCTGTGTAGATTTCTATGACATTTTTCTTAAAATATAACACTACTCATTTTTTCTTTTGTTAGATCTTTTAGGGGAAAAAAATCTACATACAAAAAACACACAAATCCCTCCTGTTTCTTTCTTTTTTAGCAGGATTTTAGACATTATGAGGTTGAGATACCGCTCAGAATCTGACAATGGTGATGGACGATTCATTAATCTTAACCGACCACATGTTGTAGATCACTATGAGGTCATACTGCCTCATGTCAACATGTCAAGAAGAATATATCATTCATGCTCTATGATTACTTTATACATATCTGAAACCAAAAATGTTTTAATGGACTCTCCTTTGTGCAATTTCTTAGAGTTCTTGTGAATCTCTCTTACACTATGGTTTTGATCTGTGTCACACCTGTTTTCCTTCACAACTTCCATTAATTTTTTTTTAATTGTAAAGCCTTGATCAAGCTGGAGATACTTTCTTTCAGAGTTATGCATTTATTTCTATCTGAAGAGGATCTGAGAAACATCCCCAAACTACTCAGTTCCATACTCAGGCTTAAAAAACCATTACAGCTACATCCCAGGTGTTTGTCAATATCATTTGTTCCTGCGAGAATCAAAGAACGTGAATAGTGTTATGGACTGAGCATGTGTGTCCCACCCTTCCCCAATTCATATGCTGAAATCTTACCCCCAATGTTACAGTGTTAGGAGGTGGGGCATGTGAGAGGCAAATAGGATTAGATGAAGTCCTAAGGGTGGAGCCCTCATGAATGGGATTGGTGCCTTTATAAGAGACATGAGAGAGCTTGCTTCTGCTCTGCTCTCTGCCCTATGAAGACACCAGGACAAGCTGGCAGTCTGCAGCGCAGAAGAAGGCCCTCACCAGAACCTGACCATGCTGGCACCTGATCTCAGACTCCTTTCCTCCAGAACTGGCAAAAATAAATTCCTGTTGTTTATAAGCTACCCAGTTTATGGTATTTCGCTTTAGCAGTCTGTACTGACTAGGACACAAACTAATGACTTGAATTTACAGTGTAAAATCATTTCTTTTTCATTCCTTTTACTTGATTCTGGTGATGATTTCTAGGTATTTACATATCCATGTGCATGTACACACACAT